AAGCCTTTGAACCATCTGTCTGTGCACGCTCTTTAGAGCAGTGAATCACATACCAACAGTGAAGCAAGGGGGTTGCAACAGACTTCCACAGCCCTTGCCGAGGTATTCATTACTGCTTCCTAGTATCTTCTGCTGCTAATTGAGGAAGGGAATGCCAGCTAAAGGTTATCCTCCTGGTTTGAGCCCTATCAATTATGTAAAATCACAGTGGGAAATTGACTGACTGGTTACACACCGCATTTCAAAAGGTGTCAAACTGTGGCTCCATGTTCCTTTATTAGAATTACTCATGCGTTTTCAAAATGATGGAAGCATGTGTTTCAGTCAGTGTGGGTTCCTAGCCAAATTAGAAAGGAACAGCCTAGATTACATAATTAATTTCAACCTCATAGGATCGCCCGTGGGTTTGTTTCTCCACCATATTTAGGAGAGAGGTGGGTATGGCCTGCATCTGAGAAATACTGGCTTTATAGTCACTCAAAGTTTGTAAAGCAGAGGTAAAATATAGACAAGATACTTTCTGGCTCACAGCTCAGAAGATCAGTTCCTGGCAAGTATAAAATCATAGAATACTACAGTTGGAAGGGGCCATGGGCATCAAGTCCAAGCCTCTCCTCAGTGCAGGACTCCAAGTTAAACCAACCCTCTCAGGTGGCTGTCCAGTTGCACCTTGAATGCCTCCAGTGTGGGACAGCCCACAACCTCCCAGAGTAATTGGTTCCACTGTCATACTGCTCTCATTTTTTTTCCTGATATCTAGCTGGAATCTGGTTTCCTGTAGCTTAAGCCCATTATTCGGCGTCCTGCACTATGCGATGATGGAGGAGAGACCTACACCTACTTCTGTGTGACAGCCTTTCAAGTACCTGTACAGCACTATCATCTCTCTCTTCACTTTTCTCAAGACTAAATATGCCCAGTTTTTTCAATCTCTCCTCACAGGGCTTTGTTTCCAGTCCCCAGATCATCCTTGTTGTCCTTTTCTAAACCCTTTCCAGCTTTTCTGCATCTTTCTTAAACTGTGGTGCCCAGAACTGGATGCAGTACTTCAGATAAGGCCTAACCAGTGCTGAGTAAAAGCGAACTAGTACTTCATGTGTTTTGAAAGTGATACGTCTATTAAGATAGTAAAAAGAGCATTTGCCCTTTTTGCAGCCACATCACATTGTTTACTCATATTTCGCTTGTGTTCTACAACAATCAATCAATCAATCCTCTATTCAGTCATTGACCAGCCAATAAATAAAACACAAAATTACAATTCATTAAAAATAAGAAAAATACAGTTTTAATAAAATTACAGTAATTAAGATAAGAAAATAAAAGCATTCTGGTAGAACCTAACAACATTTAAGGTTAATTCTACTGTGCAATGTACAATCTACCGAACAGTAGTCAAGGAGATAAAATTGGACTGATCAGATAAAAATAACTTAAGATAAAAACAATCAGAGTCACCAGGATATTTAGAAAGGCATGGGAATAACAGTTCCTGGACAGCACCTGTAGAGAGAGGGCAGTAAAGAATGACATGCTCCAGTGATTCAACTGTTTCTCCCCCACATGGACACAGTCTCTGTTCAAGGGGTATTTTTTGATATCTCCCTTCAGTAATGGCTGTTGGGGGCATTGAATCTAGCTAGAGATAAAGCCCTTCTAAATTTGGGGATTGTTACGCTACTGAGATAGGCTGAAGATGTGCAGAATGGTGATCTGCAACAAGTCAAAGATCCTTCTCACTTGAAGTATTGTTGAGTCAAGTATTTCCCATCTTGCAAGGATGCATTTGGTTTCTTTTTCCTATGTGCAAAACTTGGCATTTGCCCCTGCAGAATCTCATTCTGTTGTTTTCAGCCCAGCCTATCAAGATCACCTTGTATCTTCTGTCTTTCAAGAAGAAAGATCAGCTATCCCATCCAATTTGTGTTGAAAAAATTTGCTATTTGCTTTTCGTAAAACTGTTGCTTCTGAGAGGAAAAGGGAAAGGCAAAAAAATGTTGATAAAGTGAGACAAAGAGCCAGTGAGTGAAGAAGACCCCCCCACCCCACTACGCAAGGTCTGACACGCAGTGATCACGCTGCCCCTGTGAGGGGGTTGGATGTAGGTAAGCCCCGGCAGGAGGTCAGGCATGCAGTGGACATGCAGACCCCGCAAGGGGATTGGGTAAAGGGTCAGGCAGACCCCGCAAGGGGATTGGGTGAAGGAACAATGGGGTGAGATTGAGTGCAAGAAGGTAAAAGTATAGGAATGGTCAGTTGGAGGAATGTGTGTCGCTTCCGGTCTGCGTGTTGGGAGCGAAGACCCAGTTGCTTTGTTCAGCTGAATAAAGAAAACTGAACGAATCTGACACTTGGTTTGGTAGGTTTGTAAGTCACCTGGCTAGCAGGGACATCAACAGTGTCATTTGCAAATTTGATTATAATCATTCCCTGCACTTCCTCATTCAAATCATTAATAAAGATGTTGAAGAGCACTGGGCCCAGGACTGAACCCTGTGGTACCCTGCTTGTTACCTCTCCCCAGTTGAAGAAGGTGCCATTGCTGACCACTCTTTCAGTCCAATTCTGCAGCCAACTGTGAATCCACATGATTGTTGTTCCACCTAGCCTACTCTTAGCTAGTTTGCTAATCGGGATATCATGGGACACTTTGTCAAAAGCTTTGCTGAAGTCAAGATATGTCCACAGCATTCCCACAGTCCCTCGGGGAGGTAACCCAATCAAAAATAAAACCAGATTAGTCCGGAAGGATTTGTTCTTGAGAAATCCATGTTGGCTTCTAGTGTTCTTGAGAAATCCATAAAGCTCTATTTATTCTTTCTTAAAAATGAATGCATGAAAGAGAAACTAGAGTGACCCAAATTTTGTGTCAATAAAAGTTTTCTAGTTTGCAAACAATATTTGACTTTTCAAGCATTACATAGGAGCTCAGCCTTGCTATCATTTTAAGTTTCACCCTAGTATTTTTGCCAACATGGTGTCTTCCAGATGCTTTAGGCTGCAGCTTCCAGCATTCCTGATAATTGGCTCTGCAGGCTGGGGCTAATGGGAGTTGACATACAGATGTTTCAGACTTCAACTTATATCAGCCCCAGCCAGCACAGCCAATGGTTAGGAGTTCTGGCAGTTGTAGTCAAAAACATCTTATGAGCAGCAGGCTGGAAAACACTTGACCCTAGAGCTCCATTTTTGTCTAGATATTAAAAACAGTTAGGACAAAAAAGTTGCAGTTTGGCTTTGTGGACCATTATTTCAGTCAATCGGTAGGGACTCTCACTAGGCATGCATGGCGATACCTCAAGAACATGCAAATACCTTTCTCATCACCTCTTCCCAACATAAATCCAACATCTAAGTTAGTCATTCTAGAGTTCTGGTGAAGGAATGCTCTACTGAAGATCTGCACTAAATACATTAGCACCCATTCAATGTAGAGACCTCCATCTGAACTGTGAACATAGACCACACACCACTGCCACCTTACTGTTATAAGTCATGACAGGAAAAGACCATCCTCCTAACATTGTTTTCTTCCAGGTAAGATAGGTAAGATTTGCATTTCCCCCCACTTTTCTCTCCTCTAACTTCATTCTCTCCTCTTGATTCTCTTCTCTGTTTAAAAGAGCAGCATTGTTCATATTCTGACCTCCGTGACTCTAAGCCTAGGATCTGCCCTTGTGCTTGGCACTTATTTCCTCTCACCCCTTTCCATCCTTAGCATCAGCTTTCCCACAGGGAGAACACATACTGCAAATCAGTACCGCTGTGACTTTTTCAAATGACTCTGATACCTGGGCTGTGGCAGTGTTTCCAGGGGTGCCTTGAATGTGTCTGTTTTTGTTTTTTCACATTGCTCTTATAATTGTGAGGTTTCCCCTCTCTTTCTGGGCTTTCTGATTATAGTAGATTCAGCCGTATGTACATTGACTTGGTGTGAAGCATACCTTTGATTGCTCTGCCCCAAGTCATGGGAGTGCTGGGAAGGGAATGGGGGCATAAAAACACAACTCAACAGAATAACCATGCAGCACGGGGTGAGCAGCAGGACTGTGGTCTTCCAGCTGTTTAGCAAACATCGTTACTGACAATATTATTCGATATGCTAGTGAAGGCTGATAGCAGTTGTAAGTCAAAGCATCTTGGAGGACCCTGAATGTGTACCCATTTATAGCATTTTTATGCAGAAAGATGGATCACTGATGTCAAAAGGACTAACTCTCCTTTATAGTGCAATCCAAAGCACATTTAATTACGAAGGAAACCCTACCGAGTTCAATGAAACGCACTCCCTAATAAGAGTATTTAGGTCTGCATCCTTCGACTGAGATTTAATACATACCCACTCAGAAGTAAACTCCATTGACTCCGACGGGGTTTTCTCTCAGGTAAATGAGTACAGGATGGCGACAATCCTACACCCACTTACCTAGAGTAAGCCCACTGAGCTCACTAGGACTTACTTCTGAGTAGACCCGAATAGGCTCGCGCAGTTAGTGTCTTTACGCAAGTGCAGATTCCCGGACGCGCCCTTTCAGCTCGACGATAAAAACCACGCCGCAAGTTCCGCAGCTTTCCTGCCTCTTCCACCCGCGCAGCCGCGCTTCGCCGCGCCTTATTTCTCGCCGGCGAGAAAAACAGCCCTCTTCGCTTCGGCTTGACGGTACTGTCGTAATAAGCACGCCTCCGAACGTCGTCGTAATAACAAGGCTGCCGGAAGTTCGGGCCCGGGTCGTGCGTTACGGCTCAAGTCGGAAGTGCTCGAGAGCGGTCTTGTTTATGGGGTGCGTTGTGTGCTTTCTGGCCTGACGCTGCCCCAATATGGACCGCAGAAAGAAGCCGTTGGATGTGGCGGTTTCCTCGGTGAGTAGGGAAGGTGGGGAGGGATGAGTATTCGTAGGATCGTGCGCCCGGCCCTTCTCTCTTTATTTTTCCCAGGGAGACGCGCGGGGAAAGCCTGGAAGCCTCGTTTCTCTGTGGTGTGTATTGGAGTGCTCTGTACGTGCTCAGCGACTCTTGTAGTAGCTCGGGCTCGAGCACTTGGTTGAAAGCAGGCTTCGGACATAGCCTAGGCATGAATTAAGCCCTGTTTTTCCCTTACTCCCTTGGCGCCCTGCTTATTCTTATGGGCCATTGCTAGTGTGTGATAGTGAACCTCTTGGTTCGCTCTTTTTTTAAAAAAAGAAAATGCTCCAGTAACAATGATAGAATGTCCTAGTTTTTCCTCGGAAGTGCTTTTAAGGGGGAGAGGAGACCTAATCAAATATGGATAAGTTTTCGAAGGTTTAACTCACTGTTTTTATTTTGAAATATTTTGAATGTGCTAAGAAAAGCTGATATAAGTACAATAAGATCTTTAAGATTGTATCCTTGTCTGTCATAGATGTTCATGCCTGTTCATCTAGGGTTTATTTATTCAGTGTAGCAAGGTTTTTCCAATTCTTGCAGAACTGTGTATTAAAAAAGGTCTGTGTGAAGGCTTTTAGCAGTGCATCAGACAGCTGAATTATCCTATTGTTATTCTGCAGTATCCAAATTGCTAAATGTGATTTCATTATTATATAAAAGAGGCACTTGGATAATCAGTATTGTATGATAAGATGTAAGCCAAGCTGTTAAGATGATTAGCAAGGTGATAGGGATACAGGTGGCACAATGGTTTAAACTGCTGGGCTGGTTGATCAAAAAATCGCCTGTTTGAATCTGCACAACGGGGTGAGCTCCTGGTCTGTCCCAGCTCCTGTCAACCTTGCAGTTCGAAAGCACACAAATGCAAGTAGATAAATAGGTACTACTTGGGTGGGAAGGTAACAGCATTCTGTGCACTTCGGTGTTTAGTCATGCCGGCCACATGACCACGGAGACTGTCTGCGGACAAACACTGGCTCCCTCGGCTAGGAAACGGAAATGAGCACTGTCCCATAGAGTCAGACATGACTGGACTTAATATCAAGGGGAAACCTTTACCTTTATCTTTACCTTAAGCCTTTTCATTGATCAGGCATATTGACTGGGGAAGAGCATAGGAATACTGCCTTAATACTCTGGCATTAAAAACTTTCTCAAATATTTGGCTATCGTGCAAATTGAAAATTCTGATGGCACAATAATAGCATTCTGTAAAATTCATTACATTGAAGTTACTGCTCAGAAGTTTTCAAAATAATGAAAGCTTATATTAGTGATGTCCTGATCTGTAACCAGGATAAGAAGCTACTGTCAGGACAGAATATGGAGAAATAGAATGGTTTCCTATGGCAAAGGCATCAGACAAAGTTATCATTTATTTTCGGATGTAGCCAATGCGTACACAGAACATATCATAAGGAAAGTCAGATTAAGATCAGAGGAGGGAGTGAAAATTAGTAGAAAATACATCAATAACTTAAGATATGCAGATGACACCATATTACTACCAGAAAGCAGCAATGGATTGAAAACACTCCTGATAAAAGTGAAAGAAGACAGTGCAAAAGCAGGACTGCAGCTGAGCATTAGGAAAATAAAAACCATGACTACAGAAGAATTAGACAATTTTAATGTTAACAGTAAAGAAATGGAAATTGTGAAAGATTTTGTATACTCCTGACTCAATCATCAATTCAAAGAGAAGCTGATACCAAGAAATTAGAAGAAGACTGAGACTTGGAAAGGCAGCAATGAAGGAACTAGATCATTGTAATAATGTTTTACTGGAGAGCAAGACCAAGCTCATCTACACTTTTGTATTCCTAAGCACTATGAATGGCCATGGCAGGAAGAAAACTGATGCATTCAAAACATGGTGCTGGAAGAGAGTTTTGCAAATGCCTAGGACTGACAGAAAGGCATAACACGAAAGAATTATTGGAAATGATTATTTCTCCTCTCTGTACATTACTGGCTAATGTAAATCTAGATTTAAAGGCAGTCAGGTATTTTGCCTCTTACGCAACATCCAGTCTTTTTTCTGCCTAGGCATTGCCAAAGCATGGCTAACCTTCATTTTATGTGGTTTTTGTGCTGACCACTTAAATAAGTACCTGAATTTTCCAAGACTGGCTGTGTTGCTGTTGTATTGTAGTTTTAACCTTGCATTTTCCCCCACAGAAGCTCTTTAAATGTTCCTTCTTCTGTTAAATGACTTTGGCTTTTGTTTTTCTCCACTGCTGTACATCTAGCTTGTAGACTTGAAAGCTGAACTTTTCCGAAAACAGGAAGAATTCAAGAGAGAAAAACTTCTGAAAGATGCTGGAGCTCCTGTAAAGTCCAAAGCAATATACAAGGTAGATTTGGAATAATCCCTTGATTTTCTGTTTAGAAGTCAGGCCCATTGAGTTTATTGGTGTCTGGGCAAGCAATGGCAGCACATTACTAAATTTAGTGGAACTCTAATGCAAGAAATGCCTTCTTCCTCTATAACTTCTGGAAATGTTAAACATTTGTGTTCAGAAATATAACAGGTTAAAGACTAGTGAATTTAAAAGTAGGTATAATTTGAAGAGTTGGTTGATCTGATATTCACTTGGTTTAATTTGTCAGTTGGTATCTTTAAGAATTCCATGCTAGCCTCTGATCTTTTCTAGTTTTTCAAAGAGGTAATTGTTTCAAAATATCCTAATAATGTTTACACAGACTGAAGGATTACTTTTGTCTTAGTAAATGCACTTAATGATTTAAGAGTGATTTAGGCTGCCTTCTTGAACACAACTTTCTGGGAGTAAATCCCTTTGAATTCAGTAGATCTTACATATATATATATATATATAGGTTTCCATTGTTCAGTTTCTAGACTTCATAATTCTCTAAAAGCTCATTCTGTCATACATACGTCATACATACATAACACTTATTTATCTTCTATTTATGACATTTCAGAAGTCTGTACAGTCATGAATGATGATCAGTAAACGAACAGAAACATGTAAGAAGGAGCAGGATCTTGCAGCTGGCACAGTCCAATGCTCCCACTCTTGGACAATTTATTTGCTGGCCATTTGTTATAATTGGAATAAGCTTTGTGAGAGGGAAAGCCTTGGTGGCTGGATGCAGCCTGGGAATCGTATGTTGCCTGTTGAAAGAGGCAATTAGTGGAGGCAAGATGATTGGTTGGTGAGATTTGCCAAATGTCTCTTACACTTATTTTTCAACCAGTTTGTAGCTAAATTCTGAGTTTGTGTTTTGAAAACTTGATATTGCAGAAGCCAAGCATTTGGACGAAGCAGAACACAGGTGTGTCAGATCGGGCTGAGAAAGATGCCGAACAGAAGATAGAAGAGCAGCAAACACTGGATAAATCAAGGTAATTGTTCATTTCTCAGAGGGAAATTTGAAGTTTAGCTAGTTACATTCTGTATTAGCTATTAGTATGTACTAGCTCTAAATATTAAGTGAGTAAAAGCAACATAAGATCATGAGCTTCCAAGCAGATACTGCATGATTTGGGCTCTATCTCCTTATTCTCTACTTCTTGAATAAGTTCAGAATTTTTGTAATTCTGTGTTTTGGAACTCATGTAGCTATTGATTTTGATTGCCCTGGCACAACATGAATAGTAACTTGTGTACCAGATTGTATAGGAGTGTTGGCTTGCCAGTTAAAGCATATGTATTTATGTGCTTGTTTACAAATGTATAAGCTGTTTTATATCTAAAAAGATACTTGAGTGGTAAGTAATCGAGAAAAAAATAAAACCCCAAAATAATAAAAAACATTTAAGATCAAGTTACACCAAAAAATTATTCATTTAAATAAAGAGGTCTTTATTGGTAATGAGTGGTAATAAATCCATTTCTAAGGGTGTGATGAGTCAAGCTATCTGCCCTTGAGAATTCAGATACAGTCATATCCTCCTTTGGTGAGTGGCTTTGAAAAGAACAGATGCAGCAGTATATTCTGCTGGGCTAGGCTATTTTCATGTTGACTCAGAAGCCTTCAGTTTAGTGGAAGCTATTACCTTGTTCTGTAATCTGTGTTCTCATTGTCTTTATGGGAGAATTGTAAAACAGTTCGCAATTTTGAAAATTATGTATAGCAACCCATTCTTAGAGATGTGGGGGCTTTTCGAGCTGTAGCTCTTAAGGCTCATCTCCCCTTCCCTTTTCTGAGGTCAGTAGGGAAATGATTGGCATGCGCAGGCAGCTTCACTCAAAGCAATAGCATCATGGGCAGAGAAAGAAAGAGGCAGTGCTGCCCAAATTAGTGATACACTTATCCAAGGCAGAGAAGTGTGCTTAGAGCAAGGATTCCTTCTATGGCTGCCCTAAGAGCTCCCCCCGTACCCACCCCCATAATTGTCTCTTCAAGTATGCTGCTTTTACGAATGGCCCAAGGCTTTGTTCAGTGGTTTCTTGTACCTTGGAAAGCACTGAAGCCTTTTGTATATATGACCAAAACCACGTGATCAAGAAGTCCTCCGTGTGTGCATATTCACGATGGCATGTGTGATGTAGCCCATCCGTGGACATAGCTGCAAAGATGCAGCAGTGCAGCTGTCACACTCCCAGGAATCAAAAAGTGTCCCTGTGGCGCTGGAAGATGTTCCCAGCTCACCACCATCCAGTTGCAAGAACGCTTGTCACTGAGGGCAGCTTAGGCTGCTTTGTGCGAAGGCCGTCTCGACTGCATGCAATGGTCTGAAGAAATTACTTTCTCCGATGTTCAGAATGGCAGAAAGATGTATTACCGTATTTTGTTTAAATTGACGGGAGCTTTTTGTTTGTTTGTTTGTTTGTTTGTTTAGACAGAAGCTCGAAGAAAAAGCACAGCTCTATGAGAAAATGACAAAAGGAGACTTTCCAGGTGAGCAAAATGGTACTTCTGGCTCTGTGCATCAGTGGCAGGGGAGCTGGGGTGGGAGGCTGCTGCTACACTCGTGTCCTGCTCATGGGATCTCGTGGGCAGCTGGAAAAGGCTGCCCTGGCTCAGCAGTGATGAATACAAGGTGTTCAGATTGCGCTACATTCCTATGAGTGTGCAGAACAGTATGGGAGAAAACTGGCAATCGGGAACTACTGTATAGTTGTTCTTCAGCTGTGAAATTTCTCAGTCTGCTTTAAAGACATCTTAAAAATATTTTTACCTCAAAAAGGGAGGTATGATAATATAAACAATTCTATGCAAAAATAAGATACTTCTCCACTGGCACATGTACAGTTTCTTCATTTACCAAGAATATCCTTTTTGGGAGATCTGTGGTAACTGTTGAAAACATTGGTCTTGTGTCTCTTTCTGCCTACCCTTCCCCATAAATGTTTAGCGTACAAAATACAGGATGCAATGGCAGCACACAGTGTGTTGGCCTTTCCCAAATCCTTGTTGCTTGTTGCAGGTACAAGGAAAAGCAGCCTCAAGAGGGGCATGAGACTGGGGCTGCTGCCTCTGGTGATGGCTGCACATCTCCCAGAGCGTTGAGCTCTAGCCGGAGGCACAGATTGTTATGGTTGAAATGAACAGAAAGAGAGAGAGCTACAAGTTGTAGGATGAAGGGAAGGAAAAGCTCATGCGGTCTGAAGCCCTTTCTTTTGTGAACAGCAAAATGACTAGCTGTTGAAAGAAGACTGAAGCTTGATTGTGTAGTACCATCTTCTGTATGTTGTCATGTAGAGAAGTTAAGGACATTGCTTTTAGCAATAGCGCTGATTGCCACAATTTTATATTGACTCTCCTGTCTCAGCTGGATATTTTTGATGCCTGTTATTCAAGAATCGATTTTCTTTCTTAGATGAAGAAACTGAGGATCTGTACCTTGTGGATTTCACTCAGAAGATCATTGACAAACGGAGAGAAGTACAAGAACAGTGTGCAAATGAAGCTGCCCGGAAGGCAGAAGCTAAGGAGAATGAGGAAGAAGAGAGACTCTCAGAAGCAGAGATTCCACCTCCCCAGGACCCTACTGAAGAATGGTCGGTGGTAGCATTGTACAGGCCTAGCCTGTCTGGTTTCTCTGGAATCTCAAAGCCTAACTTCATGCCCCCAAAGTGAAGAATATTGTTGCTTTAGCTCTTCTGATTAACTTGCTCTAATCAAGAAACATTCTTCAGCATGCCAGTATAGCTGTTATATGAATTGTCATCAATTCAGTTAGACCAGGATCTTGCTCAAATACCTCAAATACTTACAGAAGTCATAACACCACTGTATGAAATTATGTTCACCAATTCCCTGCTTATTATGTAGCAAACTCCTTAAGTAAGCTATCATCTTTTTTGCCACTGGGAAAAGACCCAAGGTGTCCTTTTTGCCACATGCTGTTCACATCTTTTATGGCTTTCCATCTGCCTTACTACAAAAACAATCAGTTCCATCAGAATGAGTGTTTTAAAATTTGTATACATGAAACTCCTTTCCCCTTTCCTTTCCTGGGTTAACTAGTCATAGTGGATTACATCATTCATATCTGGTTTGTTTCATACATGGTGGCTTATTTTCATGCAACAAGCTATCTTGACAACCTGTGACTTGTTCTAGAGGTTGTTCTACCCTTGATGGGTTGCTGTGTCAGCCAGACCCAGTAGACTGATTGCAATTGCATCTCAGGTAGTGGGGAACACCTAGTGAGTTGATTGGTAAGAACAGCCAAACACCTGCTGCTGTTTCCAGTCTTGCGTGTGGCTGCTGCTGGTGACAACCCCTCCATTGCTGTTAAGTGGCACTGTCACTGGCGAACCACATTTTCCAACCCCAGAAATAATGCGCTAATGTCTTTGTATTTTTTTAATTGTTTGTCTTTTGGAAGTGCTGAAATGGGATCTTTCAGTTGTCTAACATACATAGTATTGCGTGGACAATCAGATTCCATTTTTTCATAAAGATAACTTCACTTTCTACTCTAGGATTGACTATGTGGATTCCCTGGGCCGTTCTAGACGCTGCATGAAGAAAGATCTGCCACATTTGCTTCAGATGGATAAAGAACTTCAGGGAAAGAGGTAATGCTTATCCTGAATAAAACAATTAGTTTCACACAGTCATACTTACTAAGGGGTAAAGGAAGAGTGGGTGGCTAATTGGGTTCTAGCTGAGTAAGCACAGATGAGCATAGTCACCATGTTTGTCTCCCATGTCAACATACCTACAAGAGTTCCCAAGTAGTTATTTCTCTTGGAGCAGAGAGTATATGTGATCTTTCTGAAGAGTGAATTCTCCTAAAGTTCATGGTTCCTAGTAGTGGGTTTAGGTGAAATCAATCATAAACTTTTTTTTTTTTTTGGCTGAAATGGCTTTCATGATGTTCTCATTGCAGAAGTGGTGATTAGCCCCAACCTGAGGTTTCACACACTACTTTAAAGAAATGAATAGTGGCGAGGGGATTTTGGGAAGGGTTGTCAAATGACTGCCTAGCTGCATTTTTAAAAATTGGCATTCATTCTTGAAATACACTGAGGCTGCTCCTCAGACCCCAAGTTCAGAAGCTTATAAGTGTTACACACAGAACTTGATAGCAGTGGAGCTGATCCCTGCTCCACTCTGCATTTCAGCTAGAAGGCCGTTTTCAATTTGGAGAAGGGGCTGGCTGGCTGGGGCATGCTGGGAGTTTTTTTCCCCAATCTAAATGTTGATAGGATTATGCCTTTCATGTGTTGTTTGTGCACAAGGTAACTGGGCAATTTACTTGTGATAGTTTTCTGAAGTAATGGCCCTTATCCTATAGCATTGAATATTAATTGTTCCTTAAAGAAACAAGTAGATTTTTTGGCCTCTTCTTAGGCAAATGGATTTCAAAGATTTTTTTGCTAGAAATCAAATCTTGGTGTGAACATTGTTTTCTGCCATTAAGTCTTGTGATCAGTCTGATCAAATAGACATTCGAGAGGAAGTAGTCACAGGAGATATTTTTGTTAGGTACCTGGCTCTTTATTTCTGCTATTTTGCTGGAAGAGTTTTTAAACAAAGAATTGTGAAACGTAAATGTGTAGGCACTGTAGGAAGTTTTCCAGTGAATTTACATACCATTCTATTCTTCTCTCCTAGCAAGAGGTTGGCTTGAGAGAAAACCTATTTCTCCTGGTTTTTAATCCTTTAACTCTTTTTCTAGCAGGAAGGACACCTCCTGTGAACTCCTTTCTCATTATTATAAGTAAAAATGATTTTTATGGTCAGGTTTACAATATTGGCTTGAAAGCCAATATAATTTAACTTAGGATACAAGACTGTGCATTAAGGAGCTTTGGGTAATTTCCTCTCCTTCCCAGCCTAACTTTGGCATCCCCAGTGCCTGTTGCAATACCCTCCTTGTGTGTGGATGTTACTGTGTTAGCTATGTAAGGGCCCATACCCAAAAAACTTGAGTTTGTTAATAGTGTATGGGATTTAAGATAATCTGTGAATGAGGACCTCAGCAACTCAGGGTTCTGAAATAAGGCTCTGCAAATACATTTGAGATGTGTCTGTTCTGTGTGTGCGTGTATTCAAGATCCTAGAATGCTAGTATTTGACAGGAGCACAATCTTGCTACTTCAGCCAAGAGCAAGCTGCAGCAAGGTTTATATTTAAAAAGAAGAAGCTGAAGGCTCAAAGTATTTTTCTTTGATCGTCATTCACTTCCCAGCAACCACTATTGATTTCTACATTACAGGCTTGAAACTCCCATTGTCTTTCATCCTGGTTCAGTGGAAAAAGCTTTCTAGATTATTAATTCCCATTTGCTATGATAAATATTAGTTCTAAGGTCAGTTTTATTCCAAAAAGGCCTTAAGGTAGGTTCTTACAATATTTAAGAAAATATATGAAAGTTAACATGCATTGACTTTTTCAGTGGATTTGCCCAGACAAATCGAGTTCTATGGGTGCTTTATTGTGTTCAGTTTTTAACTCACTTATGTATGGTGAGCAGTTCCAAGGATAATCTAAAAAGTTTTATTAGAGGGGGAAAAATCATATTTTGGGGCTAAAAAAAGCTGTGTTAAAAACATAGTCTCAGCTGCCCATTTGTGTTTTACCAAGGATTAGTGTTCATGTATTGTATAGTATTGTATTGTATTTAGCTAGCTAGCTAGCTAGGTAGCTAGCTAGCTTCTATGCCGCCCCATTCGGCGAAGCCTCAGGGCAACTCACAACCTTATTTTAGTAAGGTGAGACTCACTGGAGAAGACAGTCATGTTAGGGAAAGGCAAAGGAAGTCACAGCCTTGAATTTAGAAGAGCCAAGCAGACATGGATAGGACATTTTGAAAGGCTTCCGTTCCTAGTGTTGCCATACGTTGGAGACAACTTGATGACACAGAACAACAAACTTTAATGTTAATGGACATCAAAAAATGCATTTAAGGATGCACACCTATGCATAGTTAGGTGGAGAAGAAGTTCAGAAGTCCCCAGCCAGCACAGATGGCTGGGGTCTGCTGGAAGTTGTAGGACATGTTTCCGCCCAAACATAAGATTGTGCACCCAAGGAAGCTTGTGGAATAAAAGTTTCCCACCACTTCCTCTCCCCTACACTGGTTGAGAATGCCCCATCAAGCCTCCTCAGAAGTGTTTTGGTGGTGATAAATGGATAGAAGGGAGAGGAGGAACAGAATTTTTTCCTTTCTTGCACAGCTTGGGAGGATCACATATCTTTGTCTCTAAGTCGCTTCACTGGTGGCTTACTCATTCCCGTTTTACTCCCTCCACAATGTTTGCCATATACTAAATAATAATTCTGTAAGAGAATCTACAATACTGGGTCACTTCAGCCCCTGTAATAATGTGTAACTCAAACACAGTACTGTCTTTTGGCAGCCTTGAAAAGAACCATCATTCTTTGCAGCGTGTTCAGTCTTACCACCATCATAAATCCAGCCTTGTGGGCCATATTTAGCTTTCGTCCCTTTCCAAACGATGCTGGTTTCAAATGAGACTGTGTCTGAGCCTCAGCAACGCAAACTATTTTCTGGTTCACTGCCATGTTGATTGTTTCTGCGTTGAACTCAGTGGGCAGGGGTCGTGGTGCTGGCACTAATGCAGTGCTAGTGCAAACTCATCCTAGTGCGATGTGCTGAATGCTTGCTGGAGAAAGGCAGTGATTTGCCAGCAGATTTCAGTGGCATGGTTTACCTAGCCAAGGGTGATGGTGCTGTGGTGGTGTCACTGGTGCCAGTGCACTGGCAGCAATGGATACTGCCTGGCTCTTCCCCCGCTCCCCATTTTTTCAACTGGTAAAAGCCAAAGTATATCTGGTATTGTGACCTGCAGCCGTTTGCTGCTCCTTCCACTGTGTATACTTGCAGTCATTGACTGTAGGAAGTGCTAGTGACATTAAGTCTTACTAAAATTAATAACTGTAATGAACACTGCAGTTATATGTACGCCTAATATGTATGCTAAGTTATATGCAATCCATTGTATGGTACCGAAGCAAGTGTATTTTCCTTTAGTTTAAATGAATAAATCAAATCTTACGCACCACAGTGGTTAGCAAAATACAATAAACTTAATAGAATTGCTGGTAATCACAACAAAAAAAGGCAGAACGTATATGAAGTAGATAGCTGCACTTCCCTACTCAGAAACCCCAATTTCAAGTGCCTGGGCAAACAAATAGGTTTTGACCTGGCTCCAAATAATATGACAGTCAGGATCACACTAGACAGCTTGCTTTGTGCTTATATAGTGCTTTGTAAATAGTTGTAGAAAAGGCTCTCCTGAAGATCACTCGTCATGGGCAGATTGGCACAGGAGTACATGCATGTTCAGATATGTGGCTCACAAGATAAGCATCAACACCTTGAATTTGGGCTTGGAAGGGACTAAGTAGCCAGCACAGTTCTTCTAGAAGTTGTCTTTAAGGGCTGCCCCACATACAATGCAAATGGGAATTACCAGAACTTGAACTGCTGTTGCCAGCCTACCCCTGTGGTGAATCAGCCGATGCACTTAGAACTGATAAGAAAATACTATAAATAATTCCACCATGGCCTGACCTTTACCACATTTCCATTTATTTCCAAAATTTCCTTGAGGAAAAATGTGCTTTCTGTGGTTCCAGTATGCTGAGAAATTGTACATGCCATCTCCTTTTGGAGGACGTGGTAAGAGTGTGGGACTAGGACTCTGGAGATCCAGGTTCTAGTCCCCACTCAGCCATGGATCTGACTGGGTGATTGTGGGCCAGTCACAGACTCAGCCCAACCTAACTCATAGGGTTCTCATAGGGATATGACTAAGAGGAGGAGTAGAATGTAAGTTATCTTGAGTTCCTTGGAAGGAAAATGGTGGGATATAAATATAATAATAAATTGTGTTCTGTTGCCATATCTAGGATCAACTGAGAATGCTCTTTCAGTTATTTCAAGCCTGTATAATGACATGTAGAGAGATGTTTGCTCTGGTGGTTCAGTAAGATGTCCATCAGAAATACTTTTTTTTTCTGCCCTGGCTGGCTTTCTGGCTCAGGCCTGGAGCTGCAGGTTTTCTACAACTGATCACTTTCTGGCCCTGCAGCAAAGCTCTTTTCTGTTTCAATTAGGCAAATGACTGAAGGGAAGACTTTGTTATCTGAAGATATGAGAAAGGAGCTTCAGCGTCAGGAGTGGGAAAGAGAGGAAGAAGAAGCTCTGAAGAAACCAGTGGGACCAATACATTATGAGGACATACGTGAAAATGGTATGGAATCTTCCTATTAAGGAGATCTGTCTTGAGAAATATGGTGCCATTCTACTCCCAAAGCAAAAAACACTTTCTGTTGAGTCCCTGGTATCTCCAGAGAAAGCGGGGAAACAAACTTGTAAACCTGGGAGTGTGACTGCCAGGCAGTCCTGAGCCACATGAACCAGTGATGTGATGCTTTATAAGTCGTATTCCCACCATCCTGGAGAGCCAGTGTCACGTGGTGGTTACATCGTGGGACAGGGGAGTTCGGAGATCTGCGACTGAGTCCCCATTTGGCCATGAAGCTCACTGGGTGACTTTGAGCCAGTCACTCACTCTCAGTCTAACCTACTTCTCTGGATCCTTGTTGTGAGGTTGGGTTGGGTCCCTCACAAAAGGGAAAAAACAGGATGTGAATGCAGTGTTGTCGTCATCACATTTCTTCAGTCCTAACTTTTGGTGCATAATCTTTCTTTCAGAGGCCCGGCAGCTTGGTGTTGGTTACTTTGCCTTTGCCCGTGATCAGGCTTTGCGAAAAAAACAAATGGAAACTTTAGAAATGTTAAGAGAGCAGGTATGGAGTTCAAGTCAAAACCAGTACTGAGAAATATCTGTTTCAGTACAAGGAGGGTTTCCTTTGGTGCATAGTCTATTTAATAGAACATGGTAGCTAAATAAAAATCTGCCTGTTGAAACTCTCCCCCCTCCCCTCCTCAACATCCTTACTTAACTAGTAAACAGTGTCTGTCTGTGATGTGAGCAGTGTGACATTGGATTAGCGGCAAAAGCAAATTACTATTATATCTCATTTTTAAGACTACAGACCAGAGAGCAAAACGTGAACATCTAAAGGAGAAGCGTAAAGCTGTTCTAGAAGCTAGGCTCTCTAAGATTCGAGCCAAAAAGAGAATGAAGGATGGTGATGTAAAGGAAAATGAAGGTACTGTCTCTTTAATTTTTTTAACTGTAGGAAGCAGGCGTACTCCTCTGTATTCATAAAACTGAAATGTAGATGAAGATCCTGTTTCACTGATCAGAAAAATGGAATTTGACTCCATATCAGTGTGTATTTCAGAATGTTTCTGAATGTATTCAGAGTTCTCTTTGTTTTGACTCTAAAGTGGTAATTTGATTCCAAAATGCATGGGATGCAGATATGGTGAAAAGCAGTGTAAGGTGGGTAGAGGAGTGTGTGTGTGCGCAAGAGAGCGAACGTGAGCAAGTGAGTGTGTATTCGGAAATGTCAGAAGGTGTAATGATAGGATGTGGGCTGGTAGCAGATTTTATTTTCCTAGTTCAGTCTTACCATCTATGCCATTTCTGCTTAATCTCCAAATACATTATTTTATCAACTACTCAGAAGCATTTAGTTTTAATTAGATGAATTCAAATACTTCCATCTATTTCTGCTTTCTAACATTATTAAGTAATTGGATTCTGACATGAAGCATTTTCAAAATATAGAGCAATCAGGGGAGACAATATCAGGATATATTTCCCTAGTTTTCTTCCATCCTTTCCAAGATAAGTTGCAAAACAGATCCAACTTTTGTGCAGATCTCAGATCTGATTAAATGGTAGTGATGTGAGTTAATTTGTTTTGCATAGTAATTTTTCCCTCTAACTTAGTTTGCAATAACTTTCTGTGGGTGAACAGGTTGGGTAGGGTGGAGAGGAAATCTGAATGTCCCAGTTACATGTGTTTGACTCATTATTGCAATAATACATGAACACTTGGATGTGACATGGCAATAGCTTATGCATATATTGCATTGCTTCACACAAATCTGGAGTAATCTTTATTTTCCATTAAAGCGGAGGAAAATGTTGTAGAGTCAGCAGCAGCTGAAGCCAAGCCTGCAGAAGTGCCAAGAGCTTCCACACAAAGTAGAAAAGTTGAAGTTGTTATCCAGGAACGAAAAGATACAAAGCCAGGAGTTCCCTATGTTCGAGAGTGGGATAAAGGCAAAGGTAAGATCTTAGCAACCTGCTTCGGATTAGTGTGCTGTAAAGCGTTTTGAGCTTTAAAACTGTCAGGTTTTACCCCACAAGCTCTTGTTTGCTTGGCCAGTGCCATTTGAAGGAAGGCAATCCCATGTTTAAACGAACATATTTTTTTAAAGTTGCTTGCGCATAATAAACTATTTTGGAGAAATCATCTGTTTGTTCTGTGTGTGGAAAACTCTAGCCTAGTTTAGTCCTTTCTCTGTCATAGCTTGAAAGCTTGATAATAAAAAATGATTTTCACTTGTGGCTTTGTTTTCTGATTTCTGACTTCCACAGACCACTAGAGGGCAGATCAAACATAAATGTGCATGTAGATATATAGTGCTAACATTTGAATTACTTCTGCTTCTGCCATTTTTTAATGGTCATGCATAACAAAGGTCAGTGGGGAAGGTTTGGTTTTAAAACAAGCTTGGATTTCCTAAGGGTACACTGTGTTTGAGTCAAATCAAAATGAACAGAAAACTGAGTTTGATCTTTTTTTTTTCTGTCTCATTAATAGAATTCACTTTTGGACTCTGGTCAAAGAAGCAGACAGAACTCAGGAATGAACGAGACCCAGAATTTGCGCCCCCACCTGCTTACTTTTATGATCAAAAGAGAACCTGTGACTTTAAAAGCCAGAACTGGAATAAACCTGGATCCTCATATGAAAAAACTGAGCAGAATCTGAGGAGGAGCTTTCCATCCCCATCAGCTGACACTCAGAGTGACAGCTCACGGGGCAGCCAGTTTCACTCCACTCAGGCATATGATAGCACTTTGCAAGACCAGGAGCTGCTTCACCAAAGTTTAGATGATATGCTGTCATACTACAAACAAGTGACATGATCTTTAGACATTCGTTAGGCAAGGCCACTGGCTTCCAGATGAAGTAGACACACTTGCTAAAGGTCCTAAACTTTTGTCTTGTTTCAGTGTATCTTGGTAGGTTAAGTAAGAAATGTCTTTGCAGTGATATGATATAAATCTTGCTGCAACAACCAAGTGACTTAGGTCCCAACTAAGATTGAATATTTCTATTTAAAATGATACTAATTCTGTAGTGTGTTTATAGATCATTACCCTTTGTGTTGCTGCTTGTGTCATCATAAACACTTTGGGACCCAAAGACCTACTTCAGGCACACTCCAGGACCTTCAACATAACCAGTATAGTCTGATCCTAGAGTAGGAGGATATAATGTCTTTCCATTTCTGACATTTTCTGTATACACCGCCAGTTTTCTGCACAAAAGCACCCTCACGTGAGTTCTTTCATAAATTCTTGGGACAGTTTGTTAGTGTTTACTTTTCTAACCTCCTTAGCCCTTTAGATGAGGAGGACCATCAGATCCAAAGAGCACTCATTAAGGATGCTGTATCATCCATCTCTAAACTTTTCCTTATGGGGATACATCCCAGCGTCTTTCAGTACTCTGAGGCCCCAAGGAATAATTTGATTCCCGTAATAATCTCCAGAGTGTTTTGTATCATGCATTTCTCTTTCATGTGATTTTATTTGTTCCATTCACTTTTGTCATATATTTGTACTATTTGAAAAGCATAGTGATGCTATCCATTCACCTGTATAGGTGGACATCTCAGTACCGTTAGCCATTGCATGAAGCCTTGTGGGGAAAATCAAAAGAACACAGGTGCTGATGACAAAGCTCAGTAGTCCAGGACAAAATATATAAAGTTGACAGAAATGAAAATTGAGTATAAAATACACACAAAATGCTTTAACATTAGAAAATGCAAATGTGAAAAGCCCTATATCTAAAGCACGTATCATAACAGGCAAAATAAAAGTAGAATTGTAAAATCTAAAAATAGACTAAAATGTGAACAAAAGTAGACATGACACCATAACATGCATCTTTTTAAAAACTACAAATGGGCCATTGTGATACATATTTTGGATATGTTTTTAATATTGGCATTTTCTAACTGATTTTATTGTATATATAGTTGCATCTTACTTTCAGTTTTCATGTTACTTTTTTCTGATGAAATGAAATACAAGGATGAGGCCCATATAGGATGAGGGTCCTTGGTTCAAGAGAAACAAAGTCGCTTCCCCCCTCCATGCCCAATTTCACAGAACTAGGGAAATGGTATCCACTAGATTCTCACTGTTCGCTATGTAAGCCAAGGCTGATAGGAAGTGTGGTCCAGCAACAGATGCAGAGCTACCCACTACACACCACTGGTCTAGTTTTCTTTATCTCAGGATTAGAGTAGTTCATTTTTTACTAGGTAAATTCTGTTTTTATTTCAATTAGTGTTTAGCACTTAGTGTATCATTCTGAACCATGTTTTCATAATGGTAGTCAGCCATTGTTCTTGTACAGAATCCTGTTAAATACAGTTTCTGCATTTGCCTGATCATCTGTACACTATCAACAGTGTAGCGGGTGCGAATAGTTCATAAGAGTCAGCATGCTCAGACTGCCATTTTAATGATGCATCATGTGAGGAATTCCTGGATTAACCTAAGTAACCCAAGCACACATTTCAAGGTGTCCTTTTCCCTGATTCATCAGGATTGTGGTGATTGGTAGCAAAGTAAAATTGAATGTGCTTTCTCACTCTATGCTGTCCATGTTACACCATACTGAAGTTATATCAAAAGTTAAGGAAAATGGTATTTATAGGTCCTTCCTTGCTGTAAAATGTAGGATTTCAGGTCTGTTCTTGAAGTGAATGATATAGTCATAAGAAATGATGTGGGAAGCTTTTTTTTTGGCAGTGGTGTTAGCAAATAAGAGAGCCTTTAACAAAATTAACCCCTTCCTTTATTGCTTAACTTGTTCAGTGATTGTAATAGGTACAACCTGTAATGCTTTCGGTGCATTTTCTGTTTGGGTAGAACAAGAACCCATTAGTTTTAAAAGCATGGGTTAATTGCTTGGTGGTTTAGCCTTTAAACAGTCCAGTGTTGTAACTTCACCTGTTACATTGCACAGCCAGCAAAGAAGCCCTTTGTGGGCTGTGAGCTAAAGGGTAGTGTGCCTATTTTCCCTAACAACCCATTAAAAAATGAATGGGTCTTCATTATGTGTGAACCAGGTCATTCATGAAGAGACTGCTTCACTGAGTAGGAGATGGGGGAGAAGACAGTTCTATGCATCCTGAGCATATTTTCCTTCAAGAATCAAGCACAGTCCAAGATGGCCTCTAAATGCTTGTCCTAGTCCATTAGGCCTGGAATTTCCCAAATTTCTTGCTTAGTAGATGATAGTAGTCCACCTCAGTCTTCCTTAGGGCATGCGCAGTGGAAGAGTTGTTAATGTGCCTTCACTTTCACCAACAGTGTAGATTTCTAACATTTTAGAGATATTGGTATTGTGCCAGTGTGGTATTAGATGGCAAAACATCCATAGAATTGGTTGCTCTGCCTGAGAAGAGATTTGCCACAGCTGTGTTTTTTCACTGAAGTAGGGAACCATTTTTGTATAGAGAGCAAGTGACCTGTCAGAAAAGTCATTTGGAACCTGGAGGTGGGCAGGGCCTCTGCTCTTCTTTCATTCTTCAAGAAATAGGGCATCTGAGTTGAGTTTTATAGGATTGTACTGCTATTGCTACCAAGTACTTTCTTGCAGGTGCTGGCTGGCTGCAAGAAAGGGAGGATGACATGAGCTCAGATCCTCAGTTATTGTCTTTTTCAACCACTTGCTCCCTGTGTAGTACTGAGAGTATACCCAGACTTCCTTTTTGCTGTCTTAATTAAACCTGAACACATTCAGCATGCTAAAGCTGTGATTTCAGGTAATTCAGGCATGCAGCTTTTGGTTCTGCTTGATGCTGCTAATGAACTTAAAGAAGAGCTAGCATTTCTAACTCTTAAAAACTTCAGGATTTGAAGATACTTCCCTGCCCCCCCCCAAGAATATGGTTCCATTTTAACCTAATCAGAACAACATGGATGCAAGCTGAAATGTTTCACTAAATATGTATATAAGCCACTGTAAACAGTGGGTCGCATTGCATGATTCACATAAGAGATGTCTTTTTTTGCAGAGATCTTGGTGGGAATTTCCAGAAATTTTGAGTACACAGATTTGCACAGCAAGCTGCACTTCTAGGATATATACTGTAAGCCAGTGATAAGAATCACTTTACCTGTTGAGGGCTGCCATACCTTTGGGGTCATCACTTGAGAACAGTATGCTGGATTTGGGTGGGTACCCCTTTTTAATCACCCTCCTGGCTCAGTGGGTTGCCTGTATGCTGCAGAGGGCTATATGAAAGTTGCCCGTGCCTGGTTTACACTGACGGGCAATTGTTCTCCAGTGTTTTACTGCAGCCCTACTGGGAGATGCTAGGAATCAAGGATGGAGTCAGCTAAGTGCTAAATATATGCTCTACTTCATCCCTTCCCCAGCCGTTAGGAACATAGATGCTACCCTATACTGCATGAGACCATTAGCCCATCTAGCTTAGTTGTGCTTATATGGATCCTGTTCTGACCATACCTGGAGATGTTGGTGTCCTTCCATAAGCAAAGCCAATGTTCTGCCATTGAACTATAGTCCCACTACATCTCATGGTCTCGCTGTGTACCTTTACACTGCTTTCAACTGATCATTTTTCCATGTGACGCACCAGGCAAACTACTCTTGAGTTCTAGAAAGTGGCATTGAAGCTTCTACAGCAAGCAGACTTCCCTGGTTTGGTGCTGTCCAGATACGCTGGATGGCAGCTTCATGGCCACTGGCCATGCTGGCAGGGAATGCTGGGAGCTGAAGTCCAAGACATCTAGAAAACATTAGGTCACAGAAGGGTATTCTACAGTGAATTCTTTTCAACAGTAAAAGCCCTAAGCCTCTAAGTGAACAAAGCTCTTTACCAAAGAACCTATATTATGAAGTGCTCTCCCATTATGACACAAGAATGGCCAACACCCCATAGAATGTGCTATACAGCTGTATCTCCTGCCTGCTAATGTTGTGGCCAATGGAACATCTTGTTGGAATTAAACAACATTTGGAGGGCCACTAGTTGCCCGCTCCTGCACTAAGAAGTCTGTTTCAAGGTCAGGGAAAGGGAACTGAAGCTCCGTGTCGCTCTGCAGGCCTGTATCATGAATCTTAAATAGCAGAACTTGGGCAACTTGTGGTCCTCCACACATTTCAGCTGACATCCCCCATATGCCCTCACCACTAGCTTTGTTGGCTGGGGCTATTAGGAATTGTAGGCAGGAATATCTGCAGGGCCACAAGTTGCCCATTCCTGATGTATTGAACTTTCTATGGGACAGAGGCTTTGAGTCTGAGCCCTTTGCCCTTGATCTCAGTCTGATGCTTGTCTGAGCCTTTGCCCCTCTTGTGCTCCTTACAGCTGTTGCAATATTTGGTGGTGGTTTTTAAATCTCTGCCTAAGATAGATCACTAAAGTTCCTCTACTATTCCCTACTCTCAAATGAGAGAAAGATCAAAGAAATTGGCTCTTCTCCCCAGGGGACTGTTTAAAACAATGGTGAAACAGTTGAAAAAGCTCCCCCAGAGTAATGGGATGAACTGGCAAAATTTGGGTCCACATTTCTGCTCAAAAGTTCAGCTTTTTTTGATTTGCCTTGACTTGCTTAGGCTTGTTGTGAGCAAGAAAGGTAATGTAAGACCGTCTGATTGAGAGAAGCTGGACAGAAGGTGGCATCACTCTTCCTGTTGCAAAGGTTCCTGTTGGGAACCTTTCATAACATGTATCAATGAGGTATAATTTGGAGATGGGTAGGCAGAGTATTTCAGATTACCTGAATGTATTTAAAGGTTCGATGATGTTCAGGATGAATGTTATTTACAGAACATTTAATTGTAACATACATGATTTTTTCTACTATAAATGTTTTCTTGATAAAACCATACATTTTAAAAAGTGAAACTTTTAGACAAATAGATCTGTTGTTATAAAAATAGCATAAAGAGTTTAATTTTAATCTATAATTTATTGGTACTTTGGGGGCATTGTGTACTATCAATAGATGTATGTCTTTGATATATGATATCTTCTTTTTCCTTTTGGCATTTTATCTGTGGAACCTGAGATAAATATGTATACCTAAGTCAATTCTTCATAAACAAGTTGAAAGGATAATTGAATAATGGACAAAATTCCCAGGAACATGGCAGGATGGCAGAGCAAACAGTTGTTGGCAAGATAGTCGAAACAATGTTCAGGTTTCTAGTCTCTGCCACCTTTGCATATTTGTGCACAATTTTAAAAAGAAATCTTCTATTTAGAATGCTCTGGAGGCATTATACTGCTTGAGAGGGGTAAGGCAGCTCGTTCTGTGGTAGAGAAAGGACAGAGGTAGCTAAGGGACTCAGGGCCTGCATATTGAACCCTGCTGAAATTTAACTTTGAAGTTCAGAACTGAGGTCCTGCTCACCTGAGATTTCAGTTAGGTGTTGACAGGTACCTTAGGTGTAGACAGGTACCTATGCCCTCCTTCCTAGCCTCTGCCCATGCCCCTTTACTCTGGCTAACAATTATTGGGTGATTTGGGGGTTTATGCAGTTTTCTCTCCATCTTAAATAGTGTTGCCCAGTACAGGAATGTGCCCCCCATGAATGCCTCTGACCCTTGGGCTGAACAAGCTTCAGTGCCCCTGTTTTGGAAGGCTGGTAGCAGCCACTCTGGAGAGCCCTTGGAACACATGGGCCCTGCTTGCAAATAGCAACAGTGGTTTGAACAAAGCGAACCCCGAATGAATGCAAGAACTCTTTGTGGACTTGGCTAGTGTGAAGAGGCTGAGCTTCATTAGCCACTCCTCTGCAGACAATTTCAGCTTCTAGCTGCACCAGAACCCTGAACTTACATAAAACTGAAGACTGAAAGTTAGTTAGTTCCAGCCAAAAGTTTACTTTGTAATTAAGAAAGTGCATTAGTTGCTTTTTCTAATTAAATCAATAGAAATTTATCTGTCACACTTGAAATGCCTGAGACTATTTTTGGGCATCCCATTGCTTGAATGTAGGAGCAATAAAAATAAGCATGGCTACTTACGCTGGCAAGTTTTCATGCCTCTGTGAGAATGAAAACATGGGATTAGTCTTTGCAATTATACAAGATCACTTGTTCTTCAGCCCCATTGTGCTAACTGCTGTCCCTAGGCTGGCTGCGAGCTATTTCATCCAAGACATACTTTCAAGAGTAACAGAAGCAGTAATAAGGCATGGATCACAGGCATCTTGGTTCAGTGGAACTGAAACTGCAGTCAATAAATATCCATATATGAAAGGTTTAGGAAACAGCAGCAAAGCAGATAGTAGTATATGCATCCTGTTTTTCCTCCACACTTTCTTCTTTTCTGCAGCCGATCCATTTTGTACAGCCATCCCTAATCAATTTTCATTCATATCTAACAGTGAGCCAGAAATGCTTGCTTATGACTTATGGCGTGAAGGAGCTGCATAGTCGCATGTGTTGCCCATCTACTCCTCCTCTTGCATTAGTGGGTCAGCAAACCAGTAAATGTGTGATCCCTGAACCTGAGATTCTGAGTTTTGTGTGATGTCGGGACCTGGGATTATGAGTGCATATACTCAAACAAGACAAGATAGTAAGCCAACTTTAAAGCAAGGCTTAGAGCTCAAGGGTCACCATGTATCCTCTTTTATAGAGAACAGTCCTCTATTTGAAGGGAAGTCTAGTCTGCTGTAAAGTTGGAGAATCATCAGAAGGAAGATTCTGGGCCATGGAGCTGTTCATCAAGAGTTCACACCTAGGCAGCAGACTGAGTAGATTCAAGTCATTGCTATGGAGGGATGCATTGCATTTCTATTTAAAATATAATAATGTCTAAATTTGCATCTATACATATGAATCAACATTTACACATTGGTATCCTCTCGTTGTGATTCATAATCAGCCATGCTAATATCCTGGCTTGCTTAGGTGCACTTAGCAATGACATGGTTCACATGGAATGATAACCTAGAGTATGTGCTGCCACTGAATCATAGGTTGTTATGTGTGGTTATGCAGCATGCTCAAACTGTGGGCTGTTACCCACAAACAATGCAGAAAAAGAATCCATAGTTTGTCACTGGATGGTAAATTCTAATTTAAGTATAGTGTAGAGTTCTTATATAAGAACCCATAATTAAGCAACAACTCACAATTCAGCTTATACTCTGATCAATCTTGGATTTGGATGTAATGCAATCTATCCTTTAAAAAAATTGCTTACACACTTCCACCCAGGGAACAAGGTGGAACTTCAGGGGCTTGTTGCAAGTGTTAAACCTGACAGCAAACCGGAGACTTAAGTACAAATGGGGACTGGTTCACACAGGCTTCTTTATGAACTGGCCCTAAGATCTCTCGCACCAGCTAACAGGCGCATTTTCCTGCTTCACTGAAACTAGAAACTTGAAAATTATGCCAGGGTTGCAAGCAGATCTACAATCCAATCTTTAAGAGGAGGATTGGAAGGAACTCTTCAGGGGTTTAACTCAATCTGGATTAAAGCAATCCAGGTTACAACCTAAAATACATATTTCTGTAGAACCATTTTAGTTTTAACTCAGGCAATACAAAAGCATAGTGCTTCTTTGAGAGCCACTATACTAGTTTTCTGGAGAGGAGAAGTACAAAATGTAGAACTTGGTCACCCTAGCACAGAGTTATCCCAGCAGCTTTTACAGAGCACAATTCAGTCATGCTTGGGGCCTTCCTAGATATTCTGATTTTTCTGAGAAGGGGGAAAGTGCTGCTATGTGGCTGTCTCTTACCTCTGTGTCTTTACCATCTAGAGCAGTCTCTGTGCCTCCAGGTTGTGGGGAGCAGGGAGCAGTTAACCTCACCAGTGAGGAACGGCTTTTACTGGGGGAGAAAATTGCATCTGTCCTTATTCCCTTTCTCCCATTTATTCAGCTGCTTGCTACATTTATTTTCTAATGCATGAATGCATTGTGAAGTGCAGTTGCTCATCATGGGAGACCCCCTAGTTGCACTCCCAAGAGCAGGGGTCCTCAAACTTTTTGAACAGGGGGCCAGGTGACAGGTGCCAGCGGTGGCCATGGGCCACCAAGGCAGTGCCAGCAGGGAAGCGCGGGCTGGTGTGGGGGCGGGGCGTGCGTGCACACATGGGCACGCAAGGGGAGGCAGTGGGGCGCCTCTTTGCTCGCGAGGAGTTCATTTCCGAGTGAGTCCAAAATGACCTCCTTGCGAGCAAGCCAGTGCCAGGCGCGAGCACAGCAAGGAGCCGGCTTGCTCGCAAGGAGATTGTTTTCTCCAAGTGTGTCCAAATGATCTCCTCGTGAGCAAGCTGCACATGTGCCCAGCGAGTGCAAAACCTGTGGGGCGGGCGGTTAAAAGGGCATGGTGGGTCGGATGCGGCCCTCAAGCCTTAGTTTGAGGAACCGTGCCCAAGAGAGTCCAACGATGGAGCAGCTAACTAACTCTAGCAGCTTTATCTCTATAGGGCAATGTTGAATGAATGGTTTTGCAGCGACCCAGAAAGACACTGGAAGATACCTTGCATTACAGCAGGGAAGAAGATATTGTTGCTGGGAAAAATAGTTTCCCTCCAACAACTGTGAGAATGCCAGCCAAACGCTGAGGCAGCAGAACATTCCAAGAGGGGTGGAAGATGGCTTCACCATCCCTGCTAATAAGAAAGTGCGGGGCTGCATCGCTGCAAGCCCTGGCTCCACTACACCACTGCGGTTGTTTCAAGAGGCAGGAAACAAATGCAGTTTAATAGGAAAGAGCATTCATTAAAGGAGTTGAATCCACACCTTGATTAAAAATTGGGTTGAGCTGGTGATAGTCACCTAGTCTGCTCCAAACAAAAACAAAAAGAAAAGAAGAAGAAAAAAAAGCCAAAAAGAGCACATGGAAAAACCTCTGCTTTGTGTTAATTCTCCATTTTAGACTGCAAACTAGTTGGTTTAGCCCAAGTTGAATACAGGATGAGCGATCCTGATCTAAACATTTATATCTGTGTAAATGTCTGGGACAGCATTCCCTCTGCCTTTTCCCCCTTTTTAAATTTAATTTGATTTTTTCAAATACAAAGTCAGACAAACACAGAAGCACAAAACAAAAAAATGCGCTCACGTTTAACCCTAGCTGTCGACAGAAGGAGGCAGATCTGAAGGCAAAGCAGAAGGACTGGAAGGGCCAGAGCCCTTGTGTAAGGCCGTGGTCCTCTGAGGCTATTTGTCAGCTGGGGATACCTGACTCTGAAAGAGAAAGCTCTTCCTCTCAGGAGGAATCCCTCAGGAGAGTCATGGCGCATCTCCCAAGACTTCACTGTCAAAGGTGCTGCAGCTTTCCAACTTGTGAAACCGCCCCTTTTCCTTCATTTGAAGCCCATCTTCTGACACAATTCTTTAGATTTATATTCTCATTTGTCTGGCACTTGTGCACACTTTTCTGCCATCTGGCTCTTCTCCAACCCATTCTTTGTTCTCATTTGACAATCCCTACCTTTCCCTTCCCTTTATTTTGTATGGCTAATGAAAATTGCAAAGTCCTCTGAATAGGAAGGATTCAGGTCCCAGGCATATGCTGAAGGTGATGTAGCCACCTTTTAAAGCAGGCTGGGTCTGGCCAGTGACCTTTGGAGACCCTACATGTGCTTCTTTGAGCTCTATGAAAGGAAGGAGGGGTATAAATGAGTTAAGTTTCTGTGTGTGTGGTGTGAAAGTTAGCAATGGAAGAAAATTTTCATACATTCATCCTAAGGGAAGCTCTCACTTCCATGCTCTCCTCCTCTTCTAGATCACCTCATCTCGACTAAAGCCTGTGGAATGTGTGAACTGGCAATATGAGTGAACAAAAGGGTGAACTGAAGGGAGAGTCGAAGGGTGAGCTGAAGGGAGAGTCGAAGGGAGAACCAAAGGGTGAGCCGAAGGGAGAGTCAAAGGGAGAGCCGAAGGGTGAGCCGAAGGGAGAGCCGAAGGGAGAGCCGAAGAGTCACCAAAAGAGTGATTCAAAGGTTGACCATAAGAGCGACCAAAAGACGGAACAAAAGACAGAACAAAAAAGTGATCCCAAAATTGTATCAAAGAAAGATCTCACTTTTGAACAAATGAAAGCCAAGGCACCAAAAATTCTGACTGAGATGGTACACATGCTTATCACATGGCAGAAAATGGGCTTTCATGTGCCACGAGGTGTCAAAAATATCTTTGAGTTCACATGGGATGAGCTGCTGGTGACACCACCAAGGAAGTCTTTTACTGGTATCTATTGTCCAATTGTCAAAATCCTTCCTTTTGATGAGGTCGACATCTCCTCTCCTGCTACTTCAAGAATTCAAAAGGCAGGTGTTTCAGTCACAACAACAAAACCTAATTATGTAAGCCCTTCGTATGAAAATCAACAGATGCTCCTTAAGTTCCAAAAACGATCTGTCCACCTACTGACTGAACTCCTGAAGATTAAGATGAAGATAATGATTGATGCAGTTGCTGGTGAGATGATTTTAAGTATGATAGCTTGTTTGAAAAGTACATATGGCATATAATTATCCCTGGAAACTGAATCTGTTGAGATGAAGGGGCTCATCTTCAAGGGTAATTATGAAATGCACTAGGGCAGAAGGCAACACATGTCTGCCATGTTCAAGCAGGCATAGCATAGTGTTCAGTGCAACCCAGAACTGAAAATGCAAGATTCCTGGTGGCGTTGGGTACAAGCTACCCAGAGCACATTTGTGTGAGTGATGACACATCATACAATTGAAGGTATGTACATCATGGGCAGAACCTGCCACTTACTGCTTATATGGGACTGCAGGTGGCACAGTGGTTTAAACCGCTGGGCTGCTGGGCTGGTTGATCGAAAGGTCACTGATTCGAATCTGCATAAAGGGGTGAGTTCCCGTTGCTCCGTCCCAGCTCCTGCCAACCTTGCAGTTTGAAAGCATGCAAATGCAAGTAGATAAAAAGGTACCACTTCAGTGGGCAGGTAACAGCGTTCCGTGCACTTTGGTGTTCAGTCATGCCGGCCACAAGACCACGGAGACTGTCTGTGGACAAACGCTGGCTCCCTCGGCTAGGAAACGGAGATAAGCACCGCCCCCTAGAGTCAGGCATGACTGAGGGGAAACCTTCACATTTACCTTTTATGTGCAGAGGACAAGCTTTGAACAGGGCTTCTTTTGAAGAATCTGGGACAGGTTGAGCTGGAATAGAGGGATAGGGTGTTTTTCATGAATTCTGTGCAATGCTCATGAGGAAGCTCAAAAGTGGTCAAAAGCTTCTTCTTCTAGGGAAAAGTGTTCGGGTTCAGAAGGTTGAACTACCATGGCATTGCCATCATGGCACCACATGCCTGTATCCCCTGGGAGGAATGAGAGGGTCAGTGGCAAGAGACGGAGCAAAGCGATCACGATGGTCTGCTGGGCCCATTGTGCCTGCTTGACAGTTAACAGCAGGCCACTGTGGGGATCTACCATGATGGACACGTCGTGAGGCTGGCGCTCCTTCCCAACGAAAGCAATCGCTCCAGCAGATACTATAAATGCCTTCATTCTAAACAGCTATACATGTAAAATTGAAACTGGATAGAAAGTTGATCCCTTGCTCTAATGAACTTCAACCCAAACTTTGCCTATGAACCCTCCGTGGCTGCACGCCCGGAGGTGGGGCGCTGTGAACTCTCTCTTCCAGTCATTCAGGTTCAGGCAGCTGGATTCCAGCTGTCCCAGTATGTGCATGCACCTGCAAGAACGAGCACCTTCAAATCCCACTTGCCCCTTATCAGTTGGTTCTCACACTCTATATCAGAAGATTGAGAGTCTGCTTTCATGTTTACCCTCAAATCGCCCTGTTCCCGTGCCTCTGTTTCACCTTCTTTCAGCTCCTCATTATCTGGCCAATTCTTACTCTCACCATCTGTGAGAGTGCGGAGTAAACGAGAAATAACTCTTCACTGAAACGAGAAATAACTCTTCACTGACGCTCTGGTTCTCATGAGAAGTTTCCTCCTCTTGTGTGCACGTAAGAGACTCTTCTGAGTGCACACGCACAACAGACTGCCATTACATGTAGACAGAGGGAAAGTCCTTTTTTGGAAGTCAGTCAAGGTGACCAGTGTTGGGCAGGATGGATCAGTGCTCTCATTCCACTGCCCCTCTTGGATGCCTGAGGCTGGGTGAGGTTGGAAAAGGGTAGGGCCAAAGAGAACTTTACCCTCGCCCTGAGAGTGTTCAATTGCATGCCTGCAATATGCCAGTGTGTGCATTTGCCTCCCCTGCAATCAGGAGCCTCGACTCTTCAGGGTCCCTGATCATAGGTGAAGGTGCCTGCATGCAGAGCACACACGGCATGTTGCCAGTATGGTCCCAATCAGGTGTGTCTCGATGCACAGAAAGTGGTGCTTTTTCTTAAGCAGTTGCATTCCTACTTCTCATGGTTGTGTAGGTTGCTAGTGAATGTGTGGCTGCTCAGGTCTCCTGAAGAAACCAAAGTATGATGTTAATCCAAAATGAGTCAAACCCATTTATCCGAAAAGTATTTTCTGCCCTAGCAAAAGCACACATTTGCTATGTTATGTATGTTGGATATTGGTTGTAAAAACTGCACTTTTGTTATCAGTGCAATGTGTTTCATTGTGTTGTTACCCACAACCTTTCTTTCCCAGGCCCTAGTAGCGAAGAGATGGCAAGACGCTTTCTGGAACGTGGACGAATGCTGAGCCCTAAATCCAAGGAAGAAGCAGTTGATTTCATGGCAAGAGAACCAAGGAGGAAAGGTCAGAGAGGAAAGGGTGCCGCCATGTGCCTGGGCCCCCTGCAAGTAGCCTCCTGCTGCCCTCTCCACTGTGGCTCAGTTCCCTTTGGAGCTGGAAATGCTTTCATTTCCAGAAGGTCTGCACACATCAAGATCTAAGTGGGCAGTGAAACTGATCATGTTAGAAAGACAAGACAGGCTAACCCTTGTCTGCTCAGGTATTTGAACAAGGTGAAGATGGGTGGCAGAATAGGTAACAGAATAGACTATATCATGTCAAACATAGCAGGGGAAATATCACTTGTTTGATGCTGGGAGTATCTCCCTGTGAGCAGAAAAGTGCCATGGCAGGTCAAGAGATGTTGTTTCTCCCTGCTGTGGTAGATTTTATTTGTTGTGATTCACAGGAAACAGTTACTAGGGGGAACATAAAAAATGTCTCCCCCGCCCACACTTTAAAGGCTGCTGGTACAGTCCATTCCACCACCTTCTCATCCAAGGGGTTTGCTAGTCAGACTGGGTTGAATCAATAAGGATACATAAACATGGTTCTTTCCCGTTCCCAAAGGTGAAGGCAAGATTAAGATATTCTGTGGTGGAGGCTGATTGGCCTTTGTGGCTCATGCTGGAAGTACCTGGAGAAATATTTTATGTCTGGCCTCCATTGCTTGGTCCGGAGCTCAAGAAGAACTTGGCTGCTAAACTATCTCCACCGCAGCAGCTCCAGCACAGACAAGTTTTGCCATTTGAACTGGGAATGCTTAGAGCAGCAACCTAGCCAGCTTTTGCTGGGCCTGACTGGCTTCTCATTCCTGGGCCTGCTGCATCTCCCAAAACCAGCTATCCTTAAAGCACAAGTAATGCATATTGGTTTCAGCTGCGATGGTGCAGAGGAGGAAGAGGGTCATGGAGATGGAGACTGGACCCCCTCCTGCAACAGTTGATCAAGCCTTGCAGTGAGGAGGAGGAGGAGGACCAGAGCACTATATGGCCGTGTGAGAGAGTGGATCAGCTAAGAGACTTCCTTCAGGAACCTTGGAGTTGATCTGAATCCACCTATTGGAAAGTCAGATAAAATGCATATCACAGATGAGGATACCAGAGGAAGAGGAGGAGGAGGAGGATCATCATTAGAATCGCAGCAGGGTTGTGCCTTGTCAATCACAGCAGGTTGTGTCAAGGAATCACTAAAAAGCAAGAAAGTATCCTTTAAGAAGGGGAAGTCTTGACTAAATCATGCAAATTTTGAAAGACCACAAAATCTGGCAAACTAAATGTATGCTGGTTATAAAGCAAGCCAACAGAGAATGTGTAGAAACAGACATGGACGTTTCCTTAAGGGCACAGCCCTCTGCATGTTTAGACAGAGGGGCTGTTGGCGTGCAATGCTGAGCCGTCATGGGTGAATTGCGCACAGGGCGTAATGGAGTGCACCGACTTCCACTCCGAATATGCAAGGGGCAATATACTCATACTGAGGGGTGTGTGCCAAATCCATTTTGGGAGTGGAAATCCATTGGATTCCCTGGATTCTCCTCCCTGGACTCTGCCCCACTTTCTCACAGCGGTGAGGCCAACTTCCTGATGAGCACCCCAAGTGTTTGCACAGCTGCCCACCAAGAAGTGACCCCATGAGGATGCTGCACAAGTTGTGTCCCTCTTCCACACGTGACCTACAGCCTTGTTTGCACTGCACACGCTGCAAAAGAAGGTTGCCAGCTCTGTAACAGGACTTCCGTCAGCTTTCACGGAAGTCCTAAGTGAAGGCCAATCATGGGACGAGGTCAGATGCATAAAAGATGGAGGATCCTTTCAAGCCACCCAAAGCTTGCCAAGTCATATGAATCTGGTGTCAGGTGTTTGAGGAAGCAGGCAACCCTCAAATAACCCATCACGCTTTTAAAGGTATTTGAGGGCTGTCTATCCCCTCAAACAACCCACAGTGCCAGTTCTGCACAACTCAGCAAACCATGCCTGCAGGTGTTATGCAAACACAGCCGCCCCATGGCTAAATTAAGACACTGTGGGTTGTGGTGCCATGCCAACTGGGTCAGAAAAAATCCTACAACTCTCAACGTTTCTCAGCCAGCCACACTGGTTACAGCATGCTGGGAACTGTCAGAATTTTCCTGTCTAAACGTACATAGAATTGTGCCCTAAATAAATCAGGAAACTAGTCTCAGAACCATCAGGAAATGAAGAAGAAGAAAGGGGACACTGGTTTGTCCCTCTCACCCAAAACGTGCATGTGCTAATTTGTGAGCAGAGTTGCAAATCTATGAGTAATCAGTATGGTTTACATAGAAATACAGTTCATCTCCACCTAACGGGGAAGATGGGTGATCAGATGAGCCTAAGGTATGGTGTTTTATTATTATTATTATTATTATTATTATTATTATTATTATTATTATTATAACATTTCTATGCCACCCCTTGCCGAAGCCTTGGGGTGGCTTACAACACAATAAAATACATTGAAATACAATAGAACATAATAAATTACCATTAAATACAAAAATACAAAAAATACCCTGAGTTACAAACATAATAATATAAAATTAAAATTATCAGTATAAAATAAGTAAATAAATAATATAGGAGGAGAAAAGAGAAAGAAGAAGAAGTTGCCCTGGCCAGATCATGTGTTTTAACAATTAAAATGATGTTTAAATAAAAAGGTCTTTACCTGGCGCCGAAAAACCAGCATGGCAAGAGATGTAAAATGGGTCCTGAAGCAGGACATGGAGATTATTGGGAGGCCAAATTAATCAAAAGCATCAGACTTCTATCTGGAAGGTGTTGTACAGAGGCACATCTTTGAGTCAGTGCTTTAAGGATGCTATCTAAGGAGCTGTATGAATAGGATGGCCCAAGGGTTAAGAGAGCTTTTATCCTCTCCAGTCTTTTCACACCATTTTCCATCTCCATTTGAATATTATTGAAGATTTTGATGCTCATATGAGCAGACTTTCTCTCCCTCTTGTTTCTCCCTGCATCATCCTTTGCATCTCCCTAAACTGGTCCAAATGCTTTGCCAACTCTCTGGAGATGCTGGGAATGTACAGCAGGAGAGAATTTATTCTGCCAAAAGTGTTCCATTGAGCAGGTGGAGGAGCAGCACGGATTCCACCGTTTTACATATAATGTAATATTTGTAAAGATTTCTAGTATTACTATCTCTGTGTTTGATGGCACACTGGGTGGTTTCTCTTCTAAAGTGGTTTCGGCTCCTCTGTGAACTGAGTTGTCTGTGCTTGATATTTCCTTTTGTGCTGAGCTTTTAGAGCTGGTTAGGATTTCAATGCTGGATTCATTAGTGTTTATTGTATTTTAATCTGTTTTTCACTTGCGCTTTGCCTAGCTAATTTATTTCACCAGGCAATGGGTGCATTTAAATAAATAATTAACACAACAGAAATTGACAAATTATAAATGAAAATGTCACCCAGGGCCAGATAGAATTCACCTAAGAGTTCTTGAAGAACTCAAATGTGAAACTGCTGAAGGTTTAACAAAGTACCCAATTTATATCATTAACAACCTCCTCCTTATCAAAGAATTAGCCAATGTTACCATGTGGTTTAGCAAAAACAAGATGTCTGCAATGTTTTTGTGGGGTACATAAATTGTTGTTGTTACATGCCTTATAGCAACCCAATGAATGGAAGCCCTCCAAAACAAAGGCAAGCATCTCAAGTTCAATTTAGATGCCAGGAAGTACTTCCTGATGGTTAGGACCCTGAGGATATCGAATGGGCTTCCACGGGAGGTGGTTGAGGCCCCATCGGTGAGGGTGTTCAAGTATAGGCTAGACATGCACACAGTAGGCACGTCATGAGTGGAGCCGGCTGGAGCTGGGGGTCAGACTAGATGGCCCGGGAGGCCCCTTCTGACTCGCTCTGTTTCTATGTTTCTAAAATGTCCTGTCTGCAACAGCCCACTCTGCTCTTCTAAGCTCAAGGCTGTGACTTCCTTTATGGATTCAATCCATCTCATACATGGTCTTCCTTTTTCCCTTCAGCCTTTGACTTTCCCCAGCATGATCCTCTCCAGTGAGCCTTGCCTTCTCAGGATTTGGGTACATACATTGTAAAGCAATCTTCCAATGTGGGTGAGCTATGCATGAAGGAAAGACGCCAGGCAGGAGAAGGCTGCAGTGCTAGATTCTGCTTTTCCTCTTTCATTCTACCACAATTTGCAGTCATCCACTGAACTGGAGTGGCAGCAAGTTCAGAACAGAGAATGGACAATTTCACACAACATATGGTTAACTTGTGGAACTGGCTTCTTGTGTTAAAAGCCACTAGCCTGGGACCAATCTAGATTGGCCTTTGGAGATCCACAATTGTATCCCACCTCTTTCTACTTTTGTTTTGAAAAGCAGCCACTGTGGGCATGGGACTGGAGACATGAACCAGTCCCTGCATAAATCCAAGTTACTCCAAAAGTGCTGCTGCCTCCCCAAAGGATACATCGGAGGAGGAGTACAGTTTCAGGAGGAGGAGTGTCAGTCAGGGAAAGCTTCGTGGGCCAGATTACAGAGCTCTGCCAGCCAATTTAGGATGGATATTCAGCACCTCTGAATCAGGTTCACTGCACCGGTGGAGGAGTGTTTTGCTCCCCCACTGCTGCTTATGCAACCAAAACCTGCCACTCGAATCTACCCTCCCCTGTACGTGGGAGGCAAATAGCTGCAGATGGTTAGGTTCACACTGGGAAAAAAGGCATGCGGTTGGGTAGGTTTAACTCCTTCACTCCCAGTCCTCTTCAAAATCACCTCCCCTAGCCTCTTTTAAAGAAACGGGAGATCCATCTAGTTTGACATACGTGTGGCTTTACAATAAGCACGATTCACAGAGGTGCAGATCTGTCAATGGCCATCACTCATCTCAGCAAAATGAGGCCGTGCACTGCTGGATACCAGATGCTGGGGAGGAGGAGGGGGAGCGGGAGGGGGAGCTGTTCCCCTCCATGCCCTGCTGGTACTTCCAGGATGTGCTTGGCTAGCCATTTTGAAACCACATGTGCTATGTCAGGCAGGAAAACTCATGTCTCTCTAGATGTGTTGGCCTACAACTTCCATCTGCCTGCATAGCCAACACTGAGAGTTAATGAATTTATGTTTTACTACTACAAAGTTCTACTCTATTGTCTCCTTAGCTAGATAGGCAGGCAGCCAGGCAGACAGATGATGGGAGTTGAATCCCAGAACACCAAAAGGCCAGAACGTTTCCTGCTCTAATGTAAGGGCTAAAATATCTAGTCTTTTTCTTAAAGGAAACCAGTGATATAGTTTGTTTCCAAGTTTGAATAGTGGAAAAGGAATTTATCTGGCTTATGCAGCCAATGAGCATCCTTATATATATGGATAGGAATACCACCATTTTTCAAGCTCTCTTAAATTCTCCAACTTCAATGTTCTTCTTGGCTCACTTCCTCTGTTTTGTTTTGTTTCTGATGTATGTTTGGCTCATTTGAATTGAGAAAGTGCACATTTCAGTGGGAAAAGTCTGCATTTCTATGCATATTTTTCTAAAGTGTGCCCTTTCCTCCCATTGGCTAAAGCATGAAAATGCATTTTTTAAAAGTGCATTTTAGAGTGTGCTTTAAAAACAATGCATTTTTTCTGATGTGATTGCAAATTAAGAAATTAGCTGTCTGCTTTGGAAAAAATTCTCCTGCTTCATACTTAGGATTGCATACTTGGGCATGTTTGCAGAATTTGGGAACAGAAAACAAATGCTTGTGTATCCCTACTGAACACACTGCAAAGAAAGCACTTGTCTCCCTCTTCTGGCCATACATAAGTTGGTTGCTTTCTTTGAAAGGCTCCCACTAAGCTGCTACAGTCAGGCCAGTGCAGTTACAACTATGCAACAGAAATTTCCAAGGCGAGAAGGAACAAGAAAAAAGCCAGCTAGGATGGAAGAACGTGCCCCACTTTTATGCACCATGAATAGGAAATCTTCTGATGAGAGGTTTTCATCCCAGTTTTGCCTTTAAGAAACAGGGTTTTCAGGGGTTTAGATACTGTTTCAAACACCTGTTTAAATGGGGGAATGGGGGACAAGGAAAGCATTATTTTTGTGAAGGTGCACCCTTGGGAAGAGGAAGGCCACTTCATAAAGGCTCTTTCACCCTCAAGCCTCCATTTCCCATGTAATGGCTGTTGCATCTCAGACATCCCTGCCAATCTGTCAGTGAGGAGTGAGGACACATCCTTGGAGGCCTCAGAATATAATTCGTCTGGAACGTTTTAATCAGGGCTTTTTTGTCATAGAACACACCTTGTTTTCCAATAGATTTTACTAAGTGATTTTGAATGCCTGTCAGGCGTAGCAGATCAGCAGCAAACATCATTAAAAATGGTGCCTGCGGGGGGGCTGCTTTTGTAAGTCTGCTATCTGATAGTGAGATAGTGAGGGTGCTGCTCGGCTTGGGATTGGTGTGTGTGGTCGAGCAGCACGCTGAGTGCTTACTGCCATTGGCGACGTGAGTTCCGGCACCTTTTTTTTTTTACAGAAAAAGCACTAGTTTTAATCCTGTTCTATCAGGGCCAAAGCAGACTTAATTTTAAATCTGCATCTGGCAGCTCTGTCTTTCACCCCATTTGTACTCCCCCACATTTGGATGTTACAGGGAAAAATTCAGGAGCTGAAAGCCACTTGTTCCCCATAGTCAGTGCAAATAGGACTCCTGCACTTATCCTAAACATTTTTAAAATGTCGCTGTTAGGTATGGATTAAAGTAATGTCTGCTTTGGCCCTTGGTGGCTTGTCATTCTGGTATCACCACATTATAGGAAGTCTTGTGAGTCTTCTCCAGAGAAATGAGTTGCTGCTTGTCCTACACATCCATGAAAATATGGAGGAATTCAGAGGTGGGCAATGAAAACGGCCAGAGCATGGAAGACAAGACCTATGAGAACAGGTCGGAGATGCTGGGGATGTTTAGCCTGGAGAACAGAAGACTGCCTGGGGACACAATCAGACCCTTCCAATACCTATGGAGACTTTTCTCCGCTACCCCAGAAGGCAGAACTAAATCCAAGGCACTTAAGTTACAGGAGGGAACATTCAGTGAAACTTTTGGATAGTAAGAACGGCTTAAACATGGGGTCAAGCACCTAAAGCAGGGCAGGAGCTTTCCTTCAGTGATTTATGATGCAATATTATGTGTGTTTAGACAGGAAAAAAGAAGGTAATGCACATAACGTGTATTGGTTCACTGACTGTAATAACAATGTCTTATAACCTCAAGTTTCTGCTTCATTGCCACAGGACGTTGCATGGTACCAACAGTTCCAGCAATTCCTATTTCTTCCACTACCCAGCTTGTTCAGCAAGTATCGTTTTCCTGTCTTTGTTTTTCACTGGCATTCAAAGATACCAAGCAGCAAAAGGGCTCAGGTAATTTCTAAGAAAGTATAATTTCTAAGATACTAAAATGCAGCTTGCATAAAATAGAAGTCTAATCCTGTGCATGTTGAGATAAAATATCCTGCAATTCCTGTATTCCCCAGCCTGCTGTAGGACTATTTCCTCTCCAAACATAGGAGTTCTCTCTAAAGTTATCAAATCTGAACTAACCTATCATCAGAATGGCTTTTATCGGTATAATGGGAAGTGAGCAATGCCACCCTTCATCCTACAACCCTCCACACATTCTCAACATCGACTCCAAAAGGGGTCTCCCCAGGAAAAGAATTTGTAGTGGTGTGGGTGCTGGCTGAAGTGGGGAGAAGAGGAGGTGAAAAGTCCTGTTGCCTGAGCGGAAGTTCATTGGAGCAGAAGTTCACTGGGTATTGGCTAATACCCACCATTGGCACAGGGATGGCTGTTATCCAATACAGTATTGCAACTGAGTTAAGCAAATAGCCCAGCTTTTGTCATGAAGGGAGGGCAGTAGAAACTGTCAACACCATTAGTGTGGTTTCTTCTGAAAGATCCCTTTCATCTTTTCTGTTATCTACCAGGCCTGGGACAGGCTTGTTAAAAAATGCAAGTCACTCACTGGTTGTGTTGCTCCTCACCTTCCTCTAGTCCCTGGGAAGGCCCAGGAGCCTGCTGTCTTGATTTAGGGGCCCCGCTCAACTGGCAGTGAGCTGAAATTCTCTTAGTCTGCCTGTTCCGGGGAGTACCAGAGACCAGCTGACATATATGCTCTCAGCATATACCCTACTTAAGTAACAAGTCAGAGAATGGAAGCTGCACAGGAAGTCAGCACTGAAAGTCAGTTAGGTAATGTACGTGTCTTCAGCATTGATGAACTAGCCACTTCTCCTTTAACCTGTATCTAAAGTTTTGAAGTACGCATGGGAATGTCATCAAGACAATCATCACTGCAATGGCAAGTATTGGGAAATAACTAGTACTATCATCTGTCAGAGGAGTCTTGCTTACCCTCTGTCCAGAGTTCTTGCTCCAGTCGCCTGACAGAGTATTCAGCTGTGCCTTTTATGCTTCCTGAGTGTGGCCTTCCCCAAGACAGCCACTGCCTTACAGCCATCCTACAGGTTCTCCAAGCCGCTCAGTTCTCATACAAGCACTACTGGCTGAGAAACCTTAGTTACATTTAAGATATTCTCCGACTTGAGAGAGTAGCAGAGTGGCTTTGGGAGAAATACTTTGCTTAATCTTTATATGTTTGCAGGTCTGCTTAAAACAAAAAGTGCTGGTACCCCTGAGAACGTTGCAAGTTTTGATGACAGACTTGACCCATGTCCTGAAGCCAGATTGAAGCTCCAAGAATTTTGCCGACATATGTAAGTATCTTCAAACCCTTAGGAGATACCTCTTATGTCTAACAGGCTGGTATGGCAGATGATCTGAAGATACGGGAAGTTCACAGCACTCCTCTGTTCCATAACTCTAATCAGTTATAAGTACATGCCTTGTACTGAGTCAGAACTTTGGTGCTCCTTGGCCTTTGCTCTGTCCTCTGCTTGACATCATGCAGGCACTTTTTCCAGGTGCTGGTATGATCTTGCAATGCAGGCTTCACAGCACGCGCATACAGTAGTTGCACCCCATACATACAATCCCATGAGTCATGCGAAAAAAGTTCCCACTTCTAATTCCAAAATTAGGTTGTCTACACTTCTGAAATGACACCCTGGAGCAACTCATTCCCCATGACACTCCCCCTCCACATAGCTATTTTTGTTTAACATCACATACTATCCAGCCTTACGCAGCTTTCTGACTGCTTTGTAACATTGGGTTGGTCCAAAAATGGTCTTATCCTGTAGATGTTTTGATTGTGTTTTCTCTAATGGTCCAACAAGGCTGCAAACAGTTTTTATACAAAGACCAATGTTCACTTTAGAGCTTCACATTTCCCACCCCTTTCACTGGAAAATCATGACTTATCTCCTTAAAGTCAGGTTCTCTTTCAAGTGTGCACTTAATAGATAAAACAGTCAGGTGGCTTAATTGCTCTTGTCCTCTGTGTATGCAAGCATGCATGAGAACTAGAATTTAGTACATATATGCTGAGTCTGTAACTCCTACCTGAAGCACTGGATCCTTCTGCCCTTGGGAACAATGCCCCTGACAATTATGGTATTTGCCCCTCCTGCCACCTAGTGCCCCTCCCGTTTGCCTACAGGCAAGGAATTCTGGGACTGGATACACAGATCCAGGAGAATGCTGTTCTGTCACTACCTTAAGGCATGACCTAAAATGTTGCTTCAACCCACCTGCCCGACGGGTTGCAGCTGGTCCTAGTAATATGTACCTTCCGTTCCCTACATGCTTGGGTCCTGCTGACTGGCAGTAGCTCTTTACAGTCTCAGCCATGCACCTTAGTTTCCCCTGTAATCTCAGCCTCCCAACTGAAGGTAACAGAGACTGAAAATGGCACCTTACTTTCCAACCCTTTCAAACCCAGCAGTGCCGCCAATCACTTAAGACTGCATTTGTGGAGCTACTTTCTTTTAATGCTAAATCCCTTTGGTGGTAGGGCCACCCCTGTGGCCCACCTTAGCTTAGGCCATGTGACCCAGTAGCAGGTCCTCCCAACCCAGCAGACAAAGACTGACGGACTGCCCTGACTTAGGTTAACAAGTGGTAAATTTGTTAAGTTCTTGCCCTAAGCCAGGACTAGGAAATATTTTTCAGCCACACGATGTGGTGATAGCTACTAGCCTATTTGGCTTTCAAACCAAATGTATAGACTCTATACATGTATAGACTCTATACTATATATACCAAATGTATAGACTCTATACTATAGAGACACACATCCAAAACTGGATCATTAAGGCTAGATAGAGCCTCAAGAAGCAAAAGCAGCAGGCAGCAGGGTAACCTACATGGAAGGGTTGAGCAAGGATTTGCTGTGGGTTGTTCAAGTTGAACTGTAGATAACCATGCAGTCTGAATCTAGCCCATATAACAAATCATGGTGAATAACCCACAGCTTGCAACTCAACAACAAGGTGAGGTTTCTTTTCATGGTTTATTTGTGGTTAGCAAGTCATGACTTGAATTGGCAGGGGTGGAAAAGATAGCCAAGGTTAGCCAACCTGATAACTTGGAGGGATTACCAATGGCCACTAAAACCTTGTTTCCATGCCACAGTTGATATTGGTGCTAGTTTGCACTGAATAACCTCTTGCTTCCCTTTCTTTATGCCATCCTTTAAGAGGAACAGCAATTCCTTTCCTAAAACCTGTAACACTACATCTCAAGCCCCGCAATGCTTATCATCCAAAAATCCCTTTGGCATCAAGGGAAGCTTTCTTTCTGCAGCAAGTAACAACTTGAGGGGGAATGGGTGGGATTGTCACTGGAAGCAGGGAAGGGCTCACCCCTCCTCCACCTGTACTGTGGTTTTAATCCTGATCATCCCCCATTGCAAAAAAGGGTCAGAATTCAATGGAAGAGCTCTTACTTTGCATGCAGAAGGTCCCTGGTTCAGTCCTCTGCACCTCCAGGAGGGGAACCTGGGGAAGAATCTTACCTGAAACCTGGGAGAGCTGCTGTCAGTCAGTGCAGACAATACTAGACTAGATGGACCAATGGCCTGACTTGAGATAAAGCAGCTTCCCAGTTCCCTGCATTCTCCCTTCCCCTTGGATGCTCTTTAGACTTCAACTGCATTCATGCTTTTGTTGTCCCTTCCTTCAACTCCACTTGAGACCAGCTGTCTCAAGAGGCAAGGTATACATGTGTGAATTGGCATTTTTGTTTCAGCCTTTTTTACTTCTTGCCTGTATTAAAAGACTACTGGCTGGCCACGGTATGGGTGCTTTCCAGTAGCCAGAGTAAGAGAAAGCTGTTCTAAAACAGGCTCCCAATTTTCTCAAGAACAGCATCAATTTACCTGACCCACCAAAATTCTGGCTTCCTTCACTGATCAGTCTAACATGAGACAATGTTCCTTTTAGAGAGGAAGAGAAGACTGCAGCCTTATCAAAGGGCCATACAAGACCCCTAATCCTGAGAAATTATGTAACTGTCCACAAGTCACCATCTCAAGCTATGAAACGAGCTTCGATGTCACAATTATCTTCCGATATCAGACGAATGAAAGGGAAGAAGTTCTTCTTGAGCTGTCCTGATGGGACATCCTTCATATAGTATCCTTAGTTTGATGGAAAACAAAGGGGTGGACGTTTGGAGCACTTACTAAAGCAAACAAACCTGTGAGTAAAGGTGTACAGTTTAGGGCTGGATCTTCAACATGAATCCCAAGGTGACCGTGCACCCATGGACACCATTCTTGGCATCAACCAGACTCCCTACCTTTTCTGATGTTTTAAAATTAAGATTTATTTAAAGTGCTTATTTTCAAATTGGGAGGCTGGCTTGGTGTTCAGCGAAGTGCCAGCCACCAGCAAATTTGGGAACTCCAACCCCACTTCTGCCTTGTAACTTGGGCAAGTTATGTTTCCTTTCATCTCACCAATTTGGCTTTGGTGTTCTGTGACCAGCCCTGTCTGTCTATGGTAGATTTTTATGAATGGAAAAAAGCACTCCCATAGCAGTCATTTGATGAGAGCAACCATAACACTCAAATTCCAAATTCCAAACCAACCCCAAAAGAATGGGGAGCCCAGTTTAGGAAATATGATCAACTGCTGTCCCATTTGATAACTACAGCAGGGGTGGGGAATCTGTCAGCACTGCAGATGTTGCTTAGATAACAACTCACATCATGTGTGACCACTGCCTGTGCTTGCTGAAGTTGGCAGTAGTTGAAGTTCAACCACATGTAGAGGCCACGGTTCTCCACTGCTTCTCTATATCTGTTCCTTCTGAGTTCCAGCCACTGGGCTCAAAATGCCTTTTTGCTCAGCGAGCTACAGCCTCAACACAGATCAGTGTGTGCTTCCTCCTTTTTCTCAGTGACTCCATGTTTCAGCTGGAGAAATCTTAGAAGGTTCTGGTAATCTCAGGCTGCTTGATCAGTTTTTGTAAAACCACCTTTTCTTGCTGTGACTGCCTCTCTGAATCTTCAATTTCTATGAAGAATGGCGGTACATCTGAAATTCTTCTTATCTAAATTTTGCTCACAATTTCAAAGTAGCTGGCCCTATTTCCCAAGTGGAACTAATGTATCAGGAAGCCTTCCTTTTTCATTTTTTAAAATGTCTGCATTTGCACAAAGTGATATCCAGTGATGCCCTGTTGCAGTTTTCCATTTCTCCCATTCATCCGTGCTTTTCGCCCTTGCTCCTGTATCCCTGGGACGGATCTAGAATTGCCTGCAGTGAGCCATCATTAATTTGGTGTTTGCATGGGAGGGAGACAATTTTCAGTGATTTACATTTCCCCCCTTGGCCCACAAATCTGTTCTAGAGAGTCACCCTTCAGAATAATGTGTGTGTGTGTGTGTGGGGGGGGTCAATTGACAACAGGTAGATCCAAGTCCATCCTGGAGCTGAAGGGACCCTTTCAGTTGTGCAAGAAAATTCAGATGCAAAACTGATTGTTTTGGTGTAATTTTTCATCATGCCCCGCTAATTCTCTTCCAAGTTTGATATCATGTTTTCTGGATTTTTAGCCTGTGCATAGGACTCCAGTGTGTTTTCTGGTCCTGCCTAACAGCACAATTCACTGTGTTGTACTCTTGACAGACAGAGGGCTCTGTGTTCAGAGCTTTCCTCCTATCCTATGCCTTGCTAGCAAGACCCAGAGAATTGACTGCACCTCTATTTCTGTACTTACATTGCACAAAGCTGCTGTTTGAGCTCATCTAGCTTAAAGCAAGGAAACTAGAGATGCTACAGGATTCTGAGTACACCAGCCTATCCTCTCCCCATTCCCCCCGTCCCCCCCCCCCAGTACACCCCCTTTTGTCAATCAGTGACTTGTCAGGCAAGTTTTCTGTGGCAGCTGGAAAGGCGTGGGACTGGGAGAGGGAAGATCAGATCTTCTCCATGGTTGTAGCTGTTTCTGCAGGTGTGAAGGAAATCGGTAGGTCTATGCGAAGGAGATCCTATGGTACCTCAGGTGCTGCCTGTAAACACAGAATTGCTCTCAAATATGCCAGCACATATTCAGTGCCTTTATAAGGAAGAAAAACAATGAATGGTGGTGACAGATGTACGTATCAATAAGGCATAAAACGTCTTAATGCACCGACACACAGAAGCACAACAAGACTGATTTTCTGTAGTTTTTATCATTGCACTGCTTAACAGCAGAGGAGAAAAGGAAGCAAATGAATGCAAGGAAGAAAAAGCAGCAACAAGCCATGCCTGCTCCAATTTTTTGAATAAATGTTAGACTGCTGGATAACGATACAGTTTTTGTTGTGCAGTTGCTCTGGTCATTCACGGGATTTTAGAATGGATCCAGATGATGATTTATGAAAGATTTTACATACCTTGGCTCAGTTATCAATTCAAAGAGAGACTGAAGCCAAGAAATTCAAAGAAGACTGAGACTTAGTAGAGCAGTAATGAAGGAACTAGAAAAGATCAAGTCTAAGGATGTTTCACAAGAGATCAAGGCCAAAGTCATCCACACCATTCTATTCCTAGTCACTGTGTATAGATGTGAAGGCTGGACAGTGAAGAAAGCTGCCAGGAAGAAAATGGTTGTCTTTGTAACATGGTGCTGGAGGGGACCCTTGCAAATTCCCGGGATCAACAAAAAGATAAACAAGATAAGCTCAAATCAAGCCAGAGCTTTTCCTAAAAGCAAACTGATAAAATGAAGGCTGTCATATTTGGACACATCAAGACTCCCTGAAGAAGACAATCATGCTGGGGATAGTTCAAGTCAGAAGCAAAAAGGGAAGACCAATTATGAGATGGATCAGATCCATAAGGAAGCCACAGCCTTGAACTTAGAAGAGTTGAGCGGGTGGTCATGGCCTGGACATTTTGGAGGGCGTTCATTCATGGGGTTGTCATAAGCCAGAGACTTCTTGACAGCATATAACAACAATAACAAATGGATGATGATGAGCTTCCAATGGCTGCCCTTCTGTGTTTTCCTACTACCAAATAATCTGCTGAGAGAGAAAGTAGGGAAGAGCGGCATCCTGCCCTTGGATTGGTGGCACCAGGGATCCTGTCTGAAAGCAACGGTATCTAAATGGGAGTTCAGTGTGTGACTCAGTCAGGGCACAGGGGACCCCCAAAACAATAAAACAGGGCCCTGGAGGAACTCCTCTCAGCCCTCCCTCAAACTGCAGAGGATTTCTGCGGATCGAATGAGTTGCATATAAGGGGCACCAGAGGAAAGGGTTGTAGCGCTAACCGTCAGGAGGCAATGTGCAGCTGTGCCATCTGTTTTTGCTTAAATATTTATCATGGTAAGAAAAAAGATGAGACAAGGGGTGGGGAAATGTGGGAAAGGTGCATGTAGACAAAGGCACAGTCAGAAAATCCTGACACCTCCCTGCCTCTGGTAAAACTCCTTGAATGAGGTACGGTGATGGCCCACTAAAGCCTCATCCATGCAAACGATGGGCCAGAAAAGAGGTGGTGGGAGACCATAATTAAATCTACACAGTGCACCCTCTGACTGCCATGCATTTGAGGCAAAGCAGGCCTCTATTTTAAAAACAGGGCCTAATTTCATGCGATATCAAGGGGGTAGCTAGTAATCGTGCTGTGAGCTTTTCAAATGAAATTGCAGGTGCAGCAGAAGAGGATTGTACAGGGCATCATGGTGCCTGGGGAGGGAAAGGTTAAGCTTTCCCTGCCTAGCAGTGATCTTGCTGAAACCTGGCATCAGGGTCTTTTCTCCAAACAAATTGTGCCAGGTTGGGGAGACTGCTGAGGAGGAAAAGCTTCAAGCTTTCTTCTCACAGCAGTTCTGCCAGCATCCTACCCCCTATGTGTGCACGGTTGATCTGGATTTAAGTTGCATCATCTGTGCTGGACACCTCCCTTCCTCCTTGCCACAGCAGCTCCTCCAGCCTCACAAAAAGCTGCATGGAGAAGTCAGGAGACCCTGATGAGAGGAGTGGCAAGGAAGGTGCAGGGCCCACCTGCCCCCACAAAAACAAAAAAATAAAAATAAAACAAAAAACAGATTGAGCTTCCAGAGCCCTTCCTCTTACAGAAGGCACTGGATCCAACCTGCACTACTGACTTTTCACAAAGTGATTGCTGATCATATAATTCCATCTTGCATTTCAGTGTCCTATCTGAATACCATATATTTTTGTGAGCCATTTGGGGGGCATTTGACTGAAATGTGGCATAGAAGTAAATCATAATAGAACAGAAGATAAACATAATACATAATTAGGCCCATGTGGCATGTCACAAAAGATAAAGCCCCCAGTCTCCCCTCAGTGCTTCTGCAATTCAAGCAGTGCTGGATCAGCTGCTGTTGCCCATATTTCCACACACACAACACGAGGAGAGAACAAGCCAACCTTCCTCAATATGGCAACTCCAGATGTGCTGGGCTCCCATCATCCCCACCCACACCAACAAACGGTTGGGGTTGGTATGCCAAACGCATCTGAGGAAGACCAAGTTGAGGAATGCTGAATTACGCCATCAGAATACTTAGCTCCTTTCCTGTTTCTCTCTTTCCACCACTTAACTTCCTTGACAGCCATTTGGCTGTGGATCATTTGGCTTTTCTTTCATTTGGCATTTTTTCCACCACGTGCTCGGTTTGATCGTTCTACTGAGCTGGGAATTAAGAGTGAAGGCTCCTGCAGCACAGTTTCATATCACTTCTGCAGTTTGAATGATTCCATTTGTCAGTCTCTGCTTTCTAACATGGTGTGTTAAACACAAAGGCCTCATTTCAAGACCTTTACAATCCCCTCTTTCTAGCTCATCACTTTGGCTAATAGATTCATTTGCTGCTGTGGAGCTCATGAAGATGTCAGGGAAATAACCTCCTGGGGAGGGCAGGGGCGGGGGAAAGCCGCTTCACAGCTGAGGCCGTCCCATATTCAGAAGCCTTTGGAAAAATAGCTTCATCACTAGTCATTTGCCAGGATCTGCATAATAAGGCAAGAGGCACCACAATTACTGAACTCCACATGAGTGGATGTCTGATCATGCAACCTGATTTCCCCCTGCCACTCCCCAAATCTGGAGGGCCCCTCAACAGCCCCAGAACTGATTTGGGTGACCCCTGTCTTGGTAGTGGCACATACACTGCTGGTGGCCAGATTTGGACAGACACAACTCTGCTACTCAGGTTGTGTATGGAAAGCTGGCCCTTTGGAGAGAAGTGTTGGCTAATGCAGCCTTACCCAACCAGGCACACTCCAGATGGGTTGAACTGCTACTCCCATAATGGGCCTGCTGGCTAAGATTTATGGAAGGCACAGTCCAGCATATATCCAGAAGACAGCGGATTGGAGAAGGCCATGATTCCCGTCATCACGCTACATCCACCACACCTGCCTCCGGAGGAGGTGGGGCTTCCCATCATGAAACCCTTTGAGGGACTTGGCACATTAGGCGGCACCAAAGAACAATGCCAAAGGGCATTGCCAGTTTGGCACCATTTCAGCATCATTCAGGGCTGGGTCTCTTGGCCGTGGGTTGTCAGGTTGCTGTATTTATTGTTTATTGCTTTCTAAATATGACTAGTTTGTTGTTCTTATGTATATTTTTAAATCTGTAAACTGCCCAGAGAGTCTAATGGGGTAGTATGAAATTAATAATAATTTAATAAATCATCAATGCTGATAAGAATAATAGTAATAAAAATAATTCCAAAGTGGTACAGTAGGCTGAAAGGACTGCACCAGCATGATTAAATCAGCTTTCAGAGGTCACATTTGAAAGGACATAACACATCCTAGCTGCTTAGGGTCCACCTCCCATTCATTATTCCCAACAGGGTCAAGTAACTCTCATCCACTGGGAAAGTCACCATGTCCTCAGATATTTACAACTTAATCTGTGTTTCATGTAGTTGCCGGACTGAACTGGTCCACTCTTCTGTCTCAGGAAATCCTAACATCCAAAGGAGGAGCCTAGCAGAGCATGAATGGCCATGTTTCCCCTTCCCTTGGTGAATAAGTAAATAAATGCCCATTGCATGTGTGATATTACTTGACCTATGTCCAAGTTACCTGTCAGGAAGTCTTGCGGTGTGCCAGTTTCCCACATGCTGCATAGAAAAACCAGTCACCCTTCTGTTTCAGGATGCTCCAAATCAAACACTTCTAGGTATATTTACATCGCAGGGCCAATCGTATGCAAGTTACTCCTTCAAAGCCAGGTAAGCAGCATGGACTGAACCTCAGTTCTGTGTAGGGGTTGGGAGGAAGCATAACAGCTGAGAATCCAGAGGGCTGAGGAGCAGTGCTTGAACTCCTGAAGAAGGAGAGGCAAATGTAGTGAGAAAGCAGCACCATTAAAACTCAGAGCCAGGACAGTATTCTGGTTAAGAGTGTTGGACTGTAACTCAGAAATCTGTGTCCCAGTTCCCACTTGGCCATGAGGTTCACTGAGTGACTTTGGGCCACTCACTGACTCTCAGCCTGACTTATCTCATAGAGTGGTTACTGTGAAGAAATAATGGAGAGGAAGAGAAACCTCTTTGGGTTTAAGTGGTTTAAGCCACTTTGGGTTCCTTGCAAGAGAAAGAAAGGTGGGATATAAATGTAATAGAATGTAAAGTCATGATAATAATTAGAATAATAATAGTTTTGTTAATATTTGCATCAAATTATGACAGTCCAGGAACCAACCAGGCTTTCTGGAACAGCACTGAATGTTCATCCACAGCACACCTCCTCAACCTGGTATCCGCCAGATATGTTGAACTACAATTCCCATTACTTCTATAAGCAATAGGAGTGGTAGTCTGATACATCTGGAGGGCACCATGTGGGAGAAGGCTGACAGAGAGTGATTCTTTTGATACCTGCACAGGCTCTCCATAACCACAAAAGGGTCATAACTGTAAGGCTTCATTTGGTGGCAGTTAAAGCTATTAATTAATGCCTTGCTGGCACTCTCTGAGCATTTTCTTAGTTTTACAGATGAATAAACAGGAAGCATAGGAAAACTGAAGCTGATGAGATGGATAAAGAAGCCAAGGGCTGTAATCGCAATTAATCAAAAGCACCTTACCATTTTCAGTCAGCTTTTAAAATCAAGTTGTCTAGATCCATTTAGTCTGCGGTTAGTAGGCATTTTATTGCTATGATTCCTGTCCATCATTCTTTTTATATGTGAAACCATTAATTATCCTAATTCTTTGCCCTTAAAGCATGTGAGATAGGAAGTCATTAATGCCAGATGTTAAAAGCTTAACCTCAACAGGTGTGACTAATGATTACACTGCATGACATTGGGAGAAAAATGTCTCTGGAGAGAGACACATTTGGAAAGGCATGCTCAACAGAATCCTAGAGCCATAAAGGGCAGAGGGTTGGACTAGTTTTATAGGATATCTTCTCCCTGTGTCATAATACTAGAACTTAAATGGCTCATCTAATCAAGCTGAATAGTGGGAATTTTAGGACAGATAAAAGGAGGCACTTCTTTGCTCATGTCATAAACCATGGAATGTGCTACCATAAGATGTAATGGTGGCCTTTAAAAGAGGATTGGGCAAATTCATGGAAGATAGAGCTCTCTATAGCTATTACTCAAGATGCCCATGTAGGACCACCAGTCTCAGGAGGCATACCAGGTCAATAGCAGGCCCTGAAGAACAGGAGCGGGAAGCTGCTACTGCACTCAGGTCCTGCTTGTGGGCTGCCCACTGAGGCTCTGGTTTGGCCACAGTGGGAAGGCCCTATGGGCAGATTCAGCATGGCTCTTCTTATGATCCTGGGGAGTAAAACACATCTGAGGAACCTCATGGAGAGGCAGGAAGCACAAGTTTAAATGGGTAGTGACCCCAGAAAGGAGTCTGGCTGGGGTGCCTATGGAGACAAGGAAGGGCTAAATGTTTTTCCTTCAGGTTTTGAGAAGCCACAGAACCAAGTGGGGGCCACTGAGTTGTGCAGTTCCAGAAGCCCTGGTTTGGGATTCCAGTGTTAGCACTAGTAGCAATATTTCAGTATTGTCTTGTTCAGATTTTGTATCCTAACTGATACAATGGAGAAGGAGTGTGTGCATTGACATTAAAAATACCTGCGCCCTGCTCAATCAGCTGTTAAGCAGAATTCCCCCCCCCCCAGTCCATTGGCATGCCTTGGCATCAGCGTGGAATAGTTAACTAATTTTATTCTGAAATAATGTTGCAAGCCGCCCAGAGATGGAAGTAATGGACAGCATACAAATTTGATAAATAAACAAATAAATAAAATAAATCAGCAGAATAAAATATGCATTCTACATTTTATATATATACTCACACACATACATTATATACATGCATACATATATTCTTAAATGATGTTTAAAGTTGGCAAGTTGAGCTTCTCAGGCACAAAATTGTGGATCCCATTGAAATTTTAAAACACAAGAATAAAAGCTTATTAGCCAGTACATGTATGTAACATAGCCAATCCCTGTATGTAACGGCAGATCATATGTTGCATAACAAGAATGGGGAACCCCTGGCCTTTAAGGCAAAACTGGCCCATCCAGCTGCCCTGTCTGGCCTAAGGAAACTCAGATGAAGCTTATCCTACTCCCTGAAGCCTATTGCCAAAGTTAGAAATTCGGGCCAGCTCTGTGTTACCACCAGCTGCCTCACTATTACTGTGATTCATGTAACTATTTTCTCCCTCACCAGATGCTCAATAGCACTGCTGATGAACAATGAAGGAGGGAGTGTTAGAGACAAAGATGGCTATTTAACCCACCAGTGGAGCTGGTATTCCAAAAATCAGGTTCTACAGTTACTGGAATTTCAGGTATGAAACTGATCTCTTATTACTACTCTTCTTGTATCAGAGAACCTCACACTTTTAGAACAGTTGTGTTAGCTTCAATTCTCCTCCAAATGTTGGGTTCTTCTCATTTAGTCTATGGTGGATGGAAAACCTGCATCATCATCATCATCATCATCATCATCATCATCATTATAACATTTCTATGCCGCCCCTTGCCGAAGCCTCAGGGCAGCTTACTACACAATAAAATACATTGAAATACAATAGAACATAATAAATTACCATTAAATACATGATTTGTCTGTGCTACTTTCTGTGGTCACATTCTACCACGGAGTGCAAAACTCATCCCTGTGTGCCAAAGCCAGCCCACTTGGGTGCTCTCTGACCATGCATAACTTGATGGTTTTCCAGCTTTTGCAGTTTCTTCCCACTCTGAAAGGATGGACCATCTCCTGAAGCTAATTATTTAAGCTCTAAGATGCTGGTATTTCGACCTTGCCCCCTTTATTTCTGGCTCCCAGCCCTGCGAGTTTCTTTGGGACCAACTTTGCTCCTTTTTCTGAGAGAGGTTCCATACCCTTTTCTACACAGTCCACTATTGCCAGCAGGCACGAAAGTCTGCAGCATTTAAACATCTTTTGCTTGACTACTGTACTAGGGAAGGCACTGTTTTCATAGATGGACTCTCCTTGCAATCAGTGGCGAACATTTTTCAGCCAAAGAGCCAGGTTGCCATTTGGGAAACACTCCATCCCTCATGTCCCCACTTCTCCTGCACACACACACACCACTCATCTGCATCCACCCTCCTCAGCAGTCTCTTAATCTGACTGATGCAGAGGCATTTTTTCTGCTCAGTGCTGAGCCAGTGAAAGCTCTTGTCTGTGATCAGCTGCTGATCAAAGATAAGAGTTTCCCCTGTCTGGGAGACAGCACATGATCTGAGGAACCTACAGAAATTTCCTGTCCCCTCTCTAGAAGCATGATTTTGCTTTCCCTATTATTGTTGTTTGCAGAAATGACAAAAACAAGGTTAGGGGAAGGAATCTTGACCCTTTGCTCAGCTAGTCTAGTAGCATCTTGTATCTTAGCCACAGTGATGTTCCCAGTAAGAGCTGTCATTGCTGAATGGCAAGAAGGGGAGGGAAGAAAGGACAAGGCAATCCAGCCACCTGCTTCTTCCTTCTCCCAAGTTCCTAAAGAATATATCTACATATACACTATATCTATCCTGATAACAGTGACAGGGGAAAAAAACTGGCATTGGTAGCTCAAACTTTGCTGCACCTGCCCATGGAGTAGCACATGCTTACTCCATGTAGGATGATGCACCCCCCAGAGAGAGTGGTATTAAAGCCTCTTTTGAAAGCTTTCCATTGGCAGCAATTGGTGCCTCCCCTGAAAAGCAACCAGCATCTTTGGAGGGGCCATTTTCTGTTAGGAACATGCCAGGGAGAAGATGACTTTTCCTCAGCCTCTTTCTGCATCCTGAATTGCCAAGGCTTCCATGCAGTTGCTATTTATATAGCAGAATACAGTGCATGCAAATTGCATGGAGGTTTCTGCCCATTTGATCTCTCGGTCTACCTCTCAATCTACTTTGAAAAGCTTGAAGCTGGGGTGGACCCTCAGGCTTGCACACTACATCACTCCTGCCTGGGATCTCAACACAGCCCTCTTGGGCTCCACAGATCACATCTATTTGGACCTCAAATGCCCCATTTGTCCAAAGTTTGTTTTTGCCAGTGCTGTGAAGTCACCCCATCTCCCACATGGTCAGAGTAAACACAAGGCAGGCAACACGAAACAATTTAGCCAGTGTTCCTGCCCACTGGCCAGGTTGGTAGAGACTGCTGGGGGCTGACATCCAAACAAACTGGCGATCAACTTTTTTGCTCTGCTCTGCTTAATTTTTCTTTCTATGCAAACATGCTAGCCAAGCTGAAAGAAGCAACTGATGTGAAAGGCAGCTTTTACCCTGGATGTGCGAGGATGGTGATCCTTAGGTGTATGAATCAGCCATTTAAACTTGAATCTTTCTGACTTTATTCCTTAGATAAATGAACAGATAAAACTAAAGGTTTTTAATCAAAACTCCATGACAATTACATTTGCTTCCATCAATGAATGCCTCAATTTACCTTTGGTTAAAACTGGATGTACACATGCATCAAAGGCTGATAAGCAGGTAAGAAGACATTGTGTGGAAATGACTCTTGACTTCAACTGTGTTACATGAATATTGATATGATTTACAGTAATTGCTTATTTTCTGGTACCTAGCCATATTAACTGAGATGCAAATAATGGTATTTTACCCACTGACTTAATTCAGCTTTACTGAAATGAAGTTAAAGAAAATTAAGTGTCCTCTTCATAACTAATATTAAAAATTTTTAAAAATAATCCTAGACTTAATTGTGGCTTTCTCATCAACTCTTCTTCAGTAATTCTTGCTTTATGTGATGCAAAGCCCTCCTTCCATATACTATAGATCCAGACATAATTTCATATTTTATTTATCACTCTCATCTATAGACCACCTCTCAACACATTAAGAGCAAAGCTAGTCAACAAATCATATACATAATACATTTTCATTAAACTTTAAAACAGAATAATTATTTTACGTATTGGAAACTGTTTTGGTTTTCCACCAATGATGGGTGAAAAACTAATGCTGGGTCCAAAATGGTACCTCTCACTTTTACAGGGTTATTCATCTCATGTGGAAAGAAGCGGGGATGATTCTGGGAGACTTTGGAGGTGTAAAGTTGCTAATAAAGATTCAGGGGGTTTGTCATATGTGTGGCAATATAGAAATGTTTCTGGAAAAACAGCAAGAAAGCACCAGCTTGTGAAAATGAAAGCAAAAAGCTGCCAGTGCTCCAACCTACCCCTGTTCCTGAAGCAATCTTTATTCTTTATTTACTCTTCATTATAATGATTTGTAGACCACCTTTTACCAAAGAAGAAAAGGTGGTTTACATAATAGCCCTGGTCCAATAAAATGACAATCAAACATAGAGCAAATACCCAAAATTCAATAGACCTGTACTGAAAATTGACAGAGGCACCCTTGGTAAAAAATATCATAGCTATTTCCCATGAGAGGTTTTTTTTTTACTATGGGGTTAATAACAGGCACAGGGGAGCAATCTTCATCTTGAATGCTGCAGTTGCGATGAATATTGGGGCCTCTCTGTGTATGAGTGTCCCTGCTAGTCATTTTTCTTTTAAAATGATGTGTTTAGCCTCCTGTGTGTAGTTTGGCCCTGAGCCATCTGATCCTTGAACAGAGCATTGTGTTAAGTCTCACATGTTGCAGTACTGAGCTTTTGTTAACACATCCCTATAGATTTTATGCTTATCAGCAAAAGCAAACTCTGCTATAATGGCTAATAGACAAACCATGTCTCTCTCTCTCTGTAAAATAGAAAGATACATATCCCAGACTTGACTCTTTTCAAATTGCTTCCCTGGAGCTCTATTGACCTTTTGAAGAGTAGCACCCAAGACCTAGACCTGCATTAAAGCACAGCCTCCTTTCTTTAAGAGTCTCTTTCCAGGACTCCCCCTGCCCCAAATATTTATATTTGGATGCACTTTTGTGGAAAGACAGCCTTTGTGTTAAAATGTTTTATTATCCCATAGGCTGCCTTTGTAGGCTGGCTGAATAACATACTTTGCAGCCACATGACGTTAATTGGGCCATTTTTTAGATTAAGTTTTCATTGTTGGCTCAGTTGGCATTCCCCCCACCCCCACTGCTCCCATTTCTTAAATACAGAATATATGCAACAATAATACACATGCACAATAAAAAATATATGCTTCTAATGAGTTCTGTTGTACAGAAAAAGTCATAGTGGTAAGTGCTAATACAATGAAAAATGGATTCAAGATCAAATCCATATATATAAAATGTACTGGAGCCATGGAGGACAACCCATGGCATTTCACATTGAAAACACTTTGAAGCTCCCTTGAGAGTGCTTTGATAGCATGGATCCACCTGCCTTTGTGCTTTCAAAAGGCTTCCCTGCATGGGCAGAAAGAGTACTCCAGAAAACAGATTTGACCAAATTCTATGCTCTGAAGTGGTGTGTGAGTGAATGCACAAATGGAGAAAGTGTGTGGTGGTGATATCCTGAGGGCGGAGCAGAAAGAACGAGTTGGTAATGATGGAATAATGGTGGTGATATTAATTTAGGATTGAAACCCCACATGTTTTTTTTTTCTAAACTTTTTATAATAGTTTGGATGTACACAAATCTAAAATGTGAAGGCTTGTCTGCTCAATATCCTTGGAAGTGCCCGCTGTCAAAGTGGGCAACATCCATGGACAATGGCAATGACACACTTCAAATGTGTTATTTTGCTTTCCCTTAAATGTTGTCACACAGAGAGCTGTCAAATAAAAGCAAAGTTGTGACTAGATCTTTGCTCATGAAAGAGGGTGGTAAGTCACCCCCTTTGCAGTAAGATCTCCTAGGTTTTTAGTTTGCACCTGACTGTTCTTTGTGTATTCTACATTTTCCACCCCTTCCCAACATCTAGGTGTTTGGGAAAGTGGAAATGTGCAACCTACCACTTCTATAGGAGTAGTTACTCCTATAGCAGATATAGGAGTTTTGAGAGCTATCAAAAATAAATGTTTCTTTTAAAACAGAGTTTTTGACAGGGATATATGCTGCCCTGTAAACCTCCACCCACTTTAGCCCTGACAAAAACCCTGTATAGCTGCTTATGGCTATATTAATAGAAGTATTTAGTGTAAAGCATATCTATCTATTCTTACACACAAATTGGATGCTTCTAGAATATGAGGGTAATAATACTACTCAATCTTACAGGGTTCTTATGAAGATGTCTGAAACAATGCATTTTATTGGCTTTGAATATTAGGAATGTGTCACATACATGCTAATATTACTGCTCATATTGCCTTTAATGACATTCATGTACTGCTGCAAAGCACTGTACATATATCGATGCCCAAACTATGCACTATTCCATAATAATCCATATTTCTTTTCTCCTTTCACTTTCCAAAGTTGTCTGGAAGAAACATTGAAAGTGATGACAAGGAAAAACATTGGAATAGAAGTTTAACAGAGATTAAGAGGAGGTTTGAGAAGATAGTAAGACAATATATAAATGGTGTTTTGATGGTTTCAGGTATAGTCATTTTTGCTTTTCCTGTGGTACTCACATTGCATATTTGTATCTTTGCCACTCTCTCTCAGACACACACACAAGGAACAATGATGAAAATAGTACAAATTTGAAATATTTTTCTTTTTGAAATTTTGATACTAAATTTTGATACAAGTGGTCTTTTGTCAGGTGAAAATGGAGTGCTGGTGTCAAAACTCACTTCAGGCACAATCCTTTGGCCAGTAATCCTTTTGGGCCAGCCATTTGTAAAGGCAAAATTCCCACTGTGACCTTAGCAAAGCTTTCTGGGGTCGCAGAAGGGACTCGGCCTTCAGGGAGTCCCCTCTCAACTGGCATGCTGCTTTCTGCGTCAGCTGAGGCCTGAAGATGGGAGACCTTCTGGGAGGGTTGTCCTGGGGGTGTTGTGGGGGTACAGAAAGGGGAAGGGGAGGCACCACCAGCTTCAGCCAAAGCCAGGTGGCACCTCAGCCCTTCCTCCTTAGGTGGAGAGGTGGCCCAGCACGTGCTCGTTACAGTCTATTCAGACAGATCCATCTGATTCTGAGGAGGAGACGGAGGGGCAAGGACTGAACAGTTTCAAGGTTACCTGCTGAAGATGTTCAGGCAGCATGTGAGAATCAGCCTACCCTGGAAACGGAGGGCAACATTTCAGAGCTGGGTGGGTGGGGGCAGGTGATGGAGCAGGAGCTCCTTGACTCCATCAGGAGGTGATGGACAAAGTGAACAGACCAATTGTGAAGTATCTGCTGTTCCCACCATCTAGCCTTCAAGCAGCAGGAACCAACCAGAAGCTCCATGGAAAGGGAGGGAGGGAGGGGTAGTTTGTTTGGATTCAACTTTTTACATGGATAGATGCTTCTCCCACATCTTGAGGAGAACACTGCTTTTGATTTCTCCTACTCTGTAACCTGTTATGTTTTAATAAGACTTTAAAAATTTGATCTGAGTCTGCTGGAGTGGGGAAGAGGGAACAATAAACCTAATCTTACCTCTTTGCCAATACCAAAATTGGCCATCTAGATGTTCTTGAGGCCACGGGGAGTGCAGAGACAACACTCACATCCACATACCTCCACACACAAGGGGATGGGTGCCTTCTTTGTCTGGAAGGTTACAGGCAGTCACATAGAACTGCACCCATAGTGTATGTGAAGTCTGCGTTCTGAATGATTCCTCTGCAAAGGTAAAGCCTGAAGTCAAGGTTCTCAGGTCAAATGTCAAAGTGTGAAAAATCTAAAAACTGCAGAACTTGCAATCTGGGTACAAGACCTCCACCTGCCCAAGCTCCCCAGCAACTGGTGTGTGCAGGCTTTTCAGCCACAAGCATGTGCACGGACAGTCACTGATCACACTCACCCTAGCAGCAAGAGATCCTAGTCTTGCACAGAGATGATTTCCACCCTGATTGGCAAAATTAAAAGGGAACTGTCCACCAGGAACAGGCCCTATGTGTCTATCCATGGAGGTTCCATTCCTAGAACACCCCCACAGCCTCCTTGGCAGGAATAGTGAGGGACACTCTAGGAACAAGACTTCTATGATGGAAAGCACAGGCTCCTCTTAGAGTACACCCAGCAACGACCGATTCTGAGGGCCCAGCAGAGGCCAGACAGGGCTTGACCACCACCTGTGGCCACCACCATCTTTTGCACCCCTGCTATAGTCAGTGGATGGTATAAAGGTTAAACACCAGTAAATGCATCTGTGGACTGTGCCAGATTAGACTAATGACCAACTCACCTGGCGTTCTGTTGGGAACAGTGACCAGCCTCAGAGTTCCTGTATTCAGTGGATCCTGGTTTTTGTCCCTAACCTCTTGTCCTCACAGGAGTCAAGCACACACACTGTCCTTGTCCACTAGGGGCAAGAACAGCCCTCCCTTTATTTGCTGCTCAGGAATTGGCTCAAGGTGCTTGATTTCAGGCCTGTGCGCATACAATGGGACATCCATAAAGCCTCTTCTCAATTATGTTGGAAGCAAGGCAAGCGGGCATGGTCCTGCTTCTCCCCCATGCATTTTTTGTACGATTGGATGTGGATGCAAAGGTTTGATTGCTGCTACTCTCTCTTCCCTGGTAAAGTATTGTCACTATTTTGCCACTGCTTTGAGATTATAGTAAATACAACTAGATGCTGCAACTCAAAGGTCAGAGAGTTCTAAGTTGAAAGAGCAATACTTTGCACAAACAAACTCAAATTTTATACTGATAACAAAGCACTTATACGCTTACTCTATGAAATGACTAGTCACTCTTCCTCTCGACAGGAATTTGTTGTATAGACTATCCACTCGGCTTTCATACTTCAAAGCAAGTGAAGTTTTTGATGAAGGAATCTCCACTTCAGGCCTGGGATCGAAAACTAAGAGAAGAAGCCCATGCCTCAGTTCAAGAAGCAACCAGGAAACCAGATTTCAAGCCAACACGTAGACAGACGGTTACCAGTCTCAGCAATATCAAGAAGAAACAAAGGCCTCCCTCAGGGTCAGTGGATTTATCTTTTGAGGGGAAAACATCTGCAAAGAAGTAAAACTTATCATGTGGGTTGGCAGGATTCAAGCATCACCTTTTTCAAATGAAAATGGGAGTGCATCGTTGGGCGCTCCGCAGAAGCTGTGGTATGAAGGCAGTGGTCCCTGTGTTGGCAACATTTCCTGAGTTGGCAGTGACTTGCTTGTTTGCTGCTGCCCGGTGTGCTGAGCTGCCCTACATAGTCCCCATCTCTAGTAGCAAGGCAGAGAAGTTAAGGGGTGCAGGTGGTGCAGTGGGTTAAACCGCTGAGCTGCTGGGCTGGTTGATAGAAAGGTTGCTGGTTTGAATCTGCACAACGGGGTGTGTTCCCATGGCTCCGTCCCAGCTCCTGCCAACCTAGCAGTTTGAAAGCATGCAAACACAAGTAGATAAAAAGGTACCACTTCGGTGGGAAGGTAACAGCGTTTAATGTCATGGGGAAACTATTACCTTTTTAAACTTATATGTTACCTTTTAGGAATTGGCACAAGGGAGCATGCTTTGGGTCAAACATGCCTTCTTCAGGGGTACTTTCTGACTCCTTGGTTGCCAATCTGGAAGTGGCTTGGCAGGAAAATAGGAAAAGGGCTTGTTGGCAAACAAGAGCTGAGCTGCAGTCCACTCTTCGTTCCTTCATCTCTTCAACGTTGCTGACCGAAGGCTATCATTTTGTTTCCTGCTTTTCTCGCATTTGGCACTTTGTATTTGCAGAACTCAGTGCCCCTCCTCCAGATAAGCATGCCACTTAAGGTGAAGCAGTTGGCTTCTGAAGACAGGGCCTTCTTGGTGGTAGTACCCCAGTTTGGAATGCCCTTCCAAGAGATGTGTGCCTGGCACAACCTTTATTGCTTTTTATTGTCCTTGGGAATAAGGCAAAGGCATTTTTTTATTTCCTGTCTTTTAAGTGCAAGTTTAATCTTGATGACTGCTCTATGTAGCTTTCATAAATGTGTGGTTTTTAGGTGATTTGATTTGTGTTTGCATTCTAATTGATTTATTTTTAAGCCATGCTGGGAATATGCATGAAGGTGATATAAACTTTATTTGTTTTGCAATATTTATGTAGCACCCATAACAAACTTTTTCTGGGTGTTCAATTAAATCATTAAAACAATAATAAATCAGCAGCAAGATGCTGAAGAGCACAAAACCACCTTTAGCTTAAAACTAAAATAAGACCAGCAACTGAAAAACACTAACACTAGCATAAAATTTAAAATCCTTAGGAAACTAAAAAAAGTCTTAACTTGGAGCAGAAAGGGTCACAATGTAGGTGCCAGGCAAGCTTCCCCACAGACGGCATTCCACAAGGGGGGCACCACCACAGAAAAGCACCTGGCTGGTAGCCTCTTGTTACATAACATTTGGCGGGGCACCCAGGAAAGGGACTCTAAAGATTATCTTAGATCTGGGTAGGGATAGATTGGAGAGGCAGTTTTTCAATTAAGCTGACCCCAAACCCTTCAAAACTTTAAACTGGGCTTGGAAACAGGTAGCAGTCAATGTGGTCTGGAGAAGTACCAACATAACATAGTCACATCAGCCAGCTAATAAATCTGTTGTCCAATTTTTAATAAGCCAGAACATCTCTATCTATGTATAGCACATTGCAAATATCCAGAATGAAGGACAGCAGGATACACACAACTATAGCAAGGCAATCTCTGTCCAGTCAGACTCCTCTGACTAATATTCAAGTGACATCTTGTAGTTGTTTGATTTTCCATATCCCTCTCTTTCTTTCAAACCTCATGTTTCACACAGAGCCAAAGCAGAAACCTCAGCTGGGGATACCATCCCTGCACCTGAAACCTGGGCATCTTCTCCTACAGACTGTCCAGTTGTGCTGCGCAGAGTTTTGACCAAAGACACCGAAGGTGTATGTTGCAAGTGTGTGGTGAAAATCCCATCAATTACAGACTTGGAGTTTGAAAAGTTTATTACTGCCCGAAGAGATCCCCATCAAGTCATTGTGATCTGTGTGCTGTCACCCCAAAACCATTCCTACTCGCCTTTCTTTGAGTGGTCCATAGAAAAGATTTACATACAGATGCAGCATGGCCGTCCCTCGCCTTGCATTCAGGTAAGTTTGGCACTTTAGCACTCGGCTTCCTCCTTGCAAGTGCAATCTCCTTGCCTGTCTGGTAATGATTGCTACATTGTGGAATTTTGTGGGTATAGAATTTGCCACCCACTATACATGTAAGAGTTGTGAGATTATGCATCTATGTTTGCACTACATGAGCACAGAATTTGATATCTGGTGTAGAATGTATTTTCCTGTCATTTCCTTGTTCACTTTTTATTTATTGAAAAGCATATTTTTAAATCATAAAGCTACCAAGGAAAGCTAAACTTGAAAACGTGTGCGCAGAAGCCAAGGCAAAATAGGCCTCTCAGCAGTTGGCTGATCTTCTGTTCTCTGCTGAGGTCCATGTCCTTTCTCTAGAAACAGATACATCAGGAATCCTAAATACACATATTTCTCCACCCATGTGCTAAAAAAAGAGACCTTGCTCTCTCCAAATCATCTGCCTGTTGGAGCAGGACTCATTTAAGGTGTAATCCTATGCAAGTTCAGACAGAAAGAAGGCCTAAAATTCCCAACTTGCCTCAGCTAGCCAAGGTTTAGACCTTTTCTCTGTCTCAACTTGCATAGGATTGTGCTGTTAGTTCCTTGCTAGAGTCTCCTTCCACCATCAGAATTCCAGGTGGTCACTGGTACATGAGAATGGTTAGAATCAAACTGCACATGTCCTTTCCAGTATACCGACAGAACAACGCTCTCCCTTTCCAGTGTAAACATGATCCGTACCGCTTCCTGAAATATGACCTAGAGAGCCCTCTGAACAAAACTCCTCCTCTTTTGGTGCAGAAACACGGTGTGGTTCCTGGAATGGTGGTTGTAAGTACCTGATCATTTCCTTCCTGTAATGCCAATTGCTCCCTTTGGTTCACAGAGATGGTGAAAGTTCTCTTTTTGTAATGCATAATGTCAGCTATCCTCAGTCTGGTACCCTTCAGATGTGTTGGATTGCAATTCCCTTTATTCCCAGTAGACATGCTAGCTGAGAATGATGGGAGCTGCAGTCCAGTGCATCTGGAAGGCACCTGCTTAGAGGAGACTTCATTATATTCACAGGCAGAAAGAAGAAAGGTTATATTTCAGACTCTAGAACCTTGAATTGCAACCTGAAAAGAGACATTCAAGCCAACCTTAGGCTACTTGGGGGTTTGTTTTATTCAGAGCTGTATGCTTAAGTGACTATCTCCTGATGTCCACACCTGATGTAAGCAATTAATGTGCATGTGTACTGTTATAAGTAGCTCTCGAGGGTAAGCCTGAGCACACTTGGGCCATGGTGAGTAGCAGAAGGACAAGTTTCAGTCTTCCTCTCTGCCAAAGCGCTGACAAAAAAATCACCTTTCCCCAAGCTGAATTGTACATTTTAAGGGAAGCTCCCAGCCATGTCAATGGAGGCCTCCCTTAAAATACAAATTGCATCTTAGGAGCTATGGATTTCTGTCTGAGCTACATCAGGGGGAGCCAAAGCGCCTCCTTCACACCAGCATCGTCCTAACGTTGCTCAGGCTTCACTGGCGCTGCTTTTTACATAGCAAACACAATGCTAATTGCATTCATGCAATTGATGTGCTCGTCTAATTTGGCCCAGCACTCTACTCCTCTTTCAGGCATGGTCCTGTCTGCTGAACTGATGCATTAAGTCCTGCACTGCGTAGCGGGTTGGACCCAGTGGCCTTTTGCCCCCCTTCCAAGTCTGCTCTTCTGTGATTCTATGACCTTTGCAGAGGGAACCAGCACTGGATGCTGATTTATCCATACCTCCCAAAGGACAGTGGGGAGCAGCACTCATGTACATTTTAAAGATCTCCTGGTACACTTACCTCCCAGCTGGTACAGCACTGCAAACTTTGACAAACTAGATTGCTGTTACTCTTTTTAAAGCTGTATTTAAATCCCATTCTTACAGGGGGCTTCCATTCTTCTCTTCTGTCCTGTGGCTGCTGCAGTGATATTGCAGCTCCAGCCTTGCTGCCTCAGTGCCCCCATGGGTATCTTTCCATGTGTGGGCACTGGACCTGCACAGGTCTGGATTCATCCCATAAGACTGCCATTCAGCGCACTCTTACTAGACAGTAAGCCCAGTTATGTAGAGTAGGGCTTACTTTTGGAAAAAAACATGCATAGGATTATGCTGTGTGAGTGTCTTGCATCTTATATCTTGCATCTATATATATATCGCATGTGAATATATTGAACTCTCTTATAGGCTTAAGGCCTATAAGCCTTGCAATTACACTACACCGTTTTTTTATAGTTTGTTTGTACTTGCATTGACCCCTTCTTCCTTTTTAGGTTCATTGTACGCTAGCCATTTTGGCTTCCTCTCCTGCAAATAGAATCACGGCCACTACACTGTTGAGGTAGCAAAGGTGATGTCCCCAGAAGGAGCTAAAAATAATAAATCCAAAAGGAAGTTGTCCAGTGCGTTAACATTGCCTAGTAGCATTTAACAAGCTAACTGCTCTTGCATCCCAGAAGTGATGTAACGTTTGATCAAATGCACAGTATCTAGCACCTAAATATAGCCATCGCCACTTCTACAGAGTTAAAAAAAGGATTAATTTTAAAAGCAGCTCATAGCCATTCTAGATAATTGGATTCCCCTTCTGCCCCCTGTAGATCTTTCTGTGACTGTTCCTCGCTGACATCAGAGGAAAAGGAGGTGGTATCAGGGTATTGCAGATGCAGTGAGGGAAGCTCTGGACCCAAAGGATGAACAGTACTCCCAGCCCCTCACTAGGCCTTTCATGGGGGTTGATTTAGTCAAGCCCTACTTTAATTAAGGGAAATAGTTTAAATGGAGTTAGGGAAAAACCTGGAAGGGAAGTGGTGACCACCACTCTTCCCTAATGCCCCCCTGCTGGCAACAGTGTGGCTGGCTTCAGGAAAAGGCTAAGTGCTCTGACCCCAGAGCATTTCATTCAGCATTAGTTTTAAAAAATCAAAGGAATGGAGGCAACAAGAGAAGAAAGCCTTCTCCATATGTGTGTATGTGTTTAAAACAAGTGAGCAACAGAGTTTGGAATTCAGTTTACTCCCTGAAATCTCATGTTTGTGTGGAAAATATACTACTGCTGGGACTCCTACTCTAGCTATGCCTGGAATATATTGCTTGGGAGCTTTGGCACATAAGGAGAGATTTTCTTTTCGGCCTCATTGATAGAGGCGCCAAGTCCGGTAAACAGAGACTTCTAATGAAAGCCTTTCTGTCATCCAGCTCCTTTGAATGCTTGTAAATCCCTGAATGTGGAAGCGTAACACCCTGGGCAGACACATTCCGTGCTTCCGAGGGTTCTAATGATATTATTCATTCCCTTTGGCACAGCAGACTCCATTGGCTGACCCCCTCCCACCACCCCCAGCATATTTCATCTAATTGTGCAGCCTTGATCACATCCATGGCCACTCGGAAGTAAATTGATTTAATTCGAAGGAAGTGCACTTAGCACTGTAGCCGTAATATTATACATGACATACGCCAATAAGAATCTACACAATATGTGGCTTGTGAGGAATGTTCCTTTTGATGGCATCTACAGCCATTTCCTGAAAACATAACTTCTTTTTATTAAGACCCAGCCAGAGTATTTGTCTGTCCATGAATGAAAAATTAAAAAAAAATAAAAATGGAGAGAGGCCCTTATATTCTTGTAAGCCGTCCTCAAATGAGGACGCATGTATGGAATGATTAGATGGCCAAGGCCATCCTTGTATGTGGGAATACCAAGACTATGCTATAAGTTAGTAGACCATTTATATGTACATCTTCATCTGTTCCCTACAGAAATAATTGTGTGACCACCGTTAACATTAACTGGAATATTTTCAATTCAAAGTCTTCTTGAATATGCTGCTTATTTAAATTTATTCCCCCAGCTTAAAAGAATAGTGAAAACATATGAACACCTCTTGCATGAAACACGGAAGCTAATTAATAAGTGCACATGGGTACACCCAGCATATGTATATGAGAACATCTTGCAGGATAACTTTGACATTCAGGGGTTTAATAAATCATTCCACCCAAGACTACATACAGGGGCTGCAAGGCAGACAAAATGCTGAGGCAGTGCTGCTTTAGGAGCAAAATTGCAGCACAAGGGGATTTTCAGATTGTCCCAAATTGAACCACGGTAGCTGTACTAGATGCAAATGCAAGGCTCATCTGGACTAATTTTGCAGAATCTATGGTACCTGTCCCATGATCTTTAACCAACAGCTGCTTGATCAGCTCTGAAGATATGTAGCTCATCTGTCCTGGACTGATGGAGTAGCCACTAGCACAGCAAATGCAATTATTCAGAATTAGAAGGCCATCTCAGTTGTCAGCAGTGGGAGAAGTTGGCTGACCGCTTGAACCACTTAGAAATTCTTGCTTATTTCAAGTAAACCATACTGAGTTTATCAGGACTTACTCCCAGGCACATCTATGGGCAATTGCAACTTTAATCTAATTTTGCATGAATTATTATTTTTATTTAAAAAATCTAAACTGCTTTTCTCCTCTGTAGAAATGACACAAAACAGATAATTATATCAAAGATTTCTAAAGCCAAAATGATAAAAACAACACACTTCTATAAAATCAGAACGCCGCCCCCCAGGCAACTTAAAGCAAAATGTTCAGAGACATTTCAGTAGCGTGATGTGAGGAGACATGACAAGACCAAAAGGCTTACTCCAGTTTAGGTTCACTTGTTTGTGGTATTTTTTCCCTTTGTTTTGACAATTCATAATAGAATAATAGCAATATTAGTGATGCAGGAACAAAGCAGTTGGCTTTTCAGGTGTTTTCTGAGGCAGGTCAAGGGAAAGGAATGGCAGTTTTCCACTTCCCACTCAAAATAGCATCCCAACCCCTGTCAGGAGAGAGTTTTAAAAGCAAGCAGGTTTGTTACAGTTAACTCATGGAGCTTTGTCTTAAAGGCCAGGGATCTGCAAAGTCATATTTTTGTTGCAACAGTTTGTTTATATAAGAATTTTTATCCCATTTTTCTAATGCATACAAATCACTCAAGGTGGCTTATAACAAAGATGAAATTTTCACAGTGAAACCCCAATATCAAGGGATATATAGGATATATATAACAGAGTATAATAGAAGGCAGGAAGACTGCCTTGCTGGATATGTGCTACCTTTGCTTGCACACACCTGTGTGGAGGAACATGGGTAGGCAGAACTCTTGTTCTCCTTTCCACTTGGGAGATCTCATGGGCAGATCCAGATCCAGCCCAGACAACAAGCCCAGTCCTAGCCTTCGTGGGGCTAGGTGTTCCCCATTTTAGGCGCAGCCACTAAGAAGGCCCTCTGGTTCTAGTCAAATGAGCCAGCCCCATACATTGAAAACAAAAAAGGGCCCTTCCCCAAATCTCCGGTGGTGCACAGGGTGGCATGGATGAAAGCAATCCTTAAGTATCTTCGATCCAATTCATTTAAGGGTTTAAGAGACATCCCTAACTTTTTGAATTGTTCATGGAAACAAATTACAGTACAAATCTAGTACAGCATTTGTGGAAAAGCGTGTTCCCATGTGGGAGAGTCCACTAACATCCTTACTGCTTCATTCTGGAGCCCCTGAAACTTGTGAAGATTCTTCAAAGTCTGTGATGTGGAGGATAGTACAGCAAACCATTCTTGATGCAACCAAGGCACATGCTGCCCCCGTCAAGTCTGGTGTACCAGTTTATTCTGAGCAAGGGTGCTTCTGATCATCAATGCCGTTTGGCATCCAGATGCAAGGTTTCACTGAAGAGCACCCCAAATGGTAAACTAGGTTCTTCAAGGTGTATACTATCCCAAAAAGGTTTAGTCTTTGTTCCAGAATCCATATCTGCCTTGCCTAGATTCAACTTCAGCAAGCCTATTAATCCTCAACAGACCTACCATGGTCTCCAGGTCCTGATTCAGAACATCAAAAGTAATCAATGACATAGAGAAATGGAGTGCTGTGTCATTTGTACACCGATGACAAAACACTTCAAAGCTCCAGGCAGTCTCAGCAAACATATTGCATGTAGATGTTAAACCACATAAGGGACAGAACTGATGCTCCTGAGATTACCTTGTGATCCAAACCCTGAAGAAGAACTGAAACCATTCCAAGATCATTTGCCTATCCAAATCAAGCAGTCCAAAAGGATACTGTAGCATTGACTGTGGCTGAGAAGCACAGCAGAAGCAATGCAAACTGTCTTCCTCCATCTAGTTCCCAGCATAGATCACCTACTAAGGCAGCCCATGCAGCTTGGTCCCAAAACCAGAGCTAGACTGAAATGGGTCTAGGCAGTCCAGTCATGCAAGAACCCTGGGGTAGTAGGTGCCAAAGAAAGCCCTAATCACAACTGTTGCTTATTCTTTTCTGTTTCATGTAGAAAAATACTTTTTAGAAGGACACTTTGCATCTGTAAGGAATTGAATCAGCTCACTGAATACACACAAGAATAGGGATAAAGACATTTTTCCAGGCATTTTTGATATAGTGAAAACAGTTGCTGTTGTTGTTATGTTGCATGTATATCCCATCCCTTTTCCTTTTGTGAGGAACTCAGGGTGGCTTACATAGCTCTATTTTTATTCTCACAACAGTCTCTGTGGGTATGTTGGGCTGAGAGTCGGTGACTGGCCAAAAGTCACCCAGTGAGCTTCGTGACCAGTCGCTCAGATCTTGGTCATGTACTCCGTAGAGCCAGGTCTCCTGTCCAGCATTCTGATGGCTTTCAACCACTAAAACCAAAACAGAACCCCATGCCTCCTGCGAGTGCCGTGAAAAGGCTGGCATCACTTGCAGCTCCTTGTCTATAGCATGTGAGGCTGCAGCCCACTAGAGGGAACTGCTGATTCTCGGAACTGGCAAAGTTGCAAAGAGAGCAGATTGCAAGTTATGAGGCAGCCAGAGACCTTTGGCTTCATAATGAATTCTTTGTTCCTTGCACGGAAGCAACACTAAATCAAACAAGGCAAGCATGTGGTTGCCAGCTACCCATTCCCAACGAGTGCCCATGCAGTTCCTGAGCCCCCTGTCCCACCTCTCTGATGATCACATACCCTTGCTTCCCCTCGCCACCCACCCACATACCTCATTTTCTCTGGGCTCCGCTTTGCTTTCCTGAACATCTCCGCCTACTTCCTCCTCCTGGCTCTGGTGCCTTCTGCTGTGGCCCTCCACCCTTTTTCCCCACCCCTGCCTTGCCTCTGCAGTCCCCACCTCACCGCACTGATAACACTTGCGCCTGCTCCACCCTGAGTCACCCCACCTTGGCCAGTTACCTCTTCCAGCCTCGCCCTGTTGTTCTGATTTCACATCCTTCCACTCCTGGAGCTCCCCATCCCATCACACTGTCCAACCTTGCTGTTTCACTTAACTCTTTTAGTGCCCTTTGCACATACCCACCTTAACCCCTATGTCTTCACTCCAGGGACACTTAGTTCGTTCATACATAGTAAAATGAATGAAGGAGCAGTAGCAACATCACGCAGAGGCGCCATCCTGATCCTGTATGCATTTTAAGGCATGTGGAGGCCCCCCATGTGGATGTTATAACTATAGGTATGGAAAGTACCCACCGATGAATGGAAACCCTGGAATATCAGAATTCCCAATCATGTTGTAATGCCAGAACACCCCACAAGTCTTTCTTGTATCTCACATGTATCCTCAACTAGCTCTTTCCTCTTTTTATTATTTGTTATTTTTTCATAGAAAATCCTCTTGTCATCTCCCTTTTAGGGCCTGTTCTCCCCATAAACTACTGTACTGTACAGGCTGCAGGTTCAATGGGGCCCAGGAGGGAGTTACCTTTGTTGGTTATACTCCATAGCAGCAGTCAGTACCACCATTAACAGCACTACAAACTGTGTTGGGTGGCTTGTAATTTCCCACAGTGCCTTTGAGAAGTGCTACACCAAAGGCATTGTGGGAAATGAATATGGCAGCAAGACCTAGTTAGTTCTTTTCTTTGAAAAAAGGGAAGGCACATATCAGCAGCAGATCTTGCTGAGGTCAGGTGCTGACAGCAGCCCTCCTACAGAGCAAGGATAGCCAACTTCTATTCTCTAAGGGTCCACTCCTCTCCAATTAGTCAGCTCAGGCCAAAAGCATATTTGGTTCCACAAACTTCCCAGGCTCCCAAGAATGGCCAGGTCCCATAATAAAATTAGCAACCTATGGCAATAAGGGCTTTCTACAGTATGCAGTGTTCCATTGCATGCACATATTTACATTCTCAATTTAAACTCGGTTTAACTGTGGAATATCTATAATGTGATATAGTGGTTAAAAGGTTGGAGTGGGTCTTCAGAGAGCTGAGCTCTAGTTCTTGCAAACACAAGATGCTCACTGAGTGACTTTGGGCCAGTCACTGACTCCCAGCCTAAACTACCTCACAGGGTTGTTGAGAGGAAAACCTGCAAAGGCAACAAATATGAAGCTGCCTTGCATACCTTGCAAAAGGATAAGAGGAAAGATGTAGAAATTAATGCAATAATTATAATAATAACAATGTTGATAACTCTTGTAGATAATCTTTTCATCATACATTGATGAAAATGTGCTAGGTTTACTAAGGCCAGATAAAATATTTCACACACACAACATCAGGTAGCCCTCCTTGCTATAAAGTTGTAGGGTTTGTGTTCTGGTGTAGGAAGAGAGTAACATTTCCTAAAGGGATCTGGCAATTTGTTGCACTCCAGATGTTTTGACTTAAAAGCCCCATCATTCCTCACCAATGACTATGCTGGTTAAGGGTGATGTGACCTGTAGGCCAAAAGATCTGTAGGCCACAAGTTCCCTGGCCCCTGCTGTAAAATATAACGATGCAACAGGTTAATATATCTGGAATAGGACTGCCATGAAGTGGTGGCAATCTCAAAGGATAGCTACTTTCACATAGCCAAGGCACTGCCCAATTGCTTTCAGACAAGTAATTCTCCTACATGAAAGCAGAGGCAGTTTAGGAGTGTGAATGTATTGTACCATCTCAGCCAATGATCACTGGCCCTGTACTTTAACGAAACTTAAAGTTGCTTGCAGTTGTGCTGCATATTTGTTCAAAAGCAATCCAGTCACTTAACCCATCATATGACACACACCACGGTGAATACCTAAGTCGTAGTCCTGAATACACAACCTGGGAGTAAGTCCTATTCTCCTTGAGTACTAGGACAGAAGCAAAAAATAGTCCTACTGATGACTGCATGCCAATAATTTTAGAAATAATTTGAAATGATGCTTCTGCCTAGATTTTAAACACAAGAATTACTTTTCTTCTTTTTTAATGGGAGGATAAAACTTCTTGTGTATGGTAGATGTAGGTTTGACAGCCACACACATTGCCTGCCACTACAGTTCGACCCAAAAGAGTCTGTGTAAGGCGTTCGGTGGTCAAACTACATCACTGGCACACTTTCTACTTTTCCAAACTGAATGGCATTTCATTTAGCATTAGTAGTGTTAAGAGAAGTGTAGGAAGTGTGTGTGTGTGGCCGTCAGGTCTCTCATGTCTGGGTGAAAACATTTAAGACCGCTGTGCAAAACAGGAAAAGGAAACCATTTGGTCCAAGCCTTCGGACACAGTTTTATTGTTTTTTATTGCAAAGCATTTTTGTCCCCCTCCTTCCTGCCTATTTGTCAACAGATGTACGCTGGAGGGAAGCTACTCTTTGGGGGCTCTGTTTTCAACGGATACGGCTACAGCAAGAGGGACCTGCTGAAGCAGATCAACCAAGCTTGCCTTGACTGCAAGATGGGCCACTTCCTGCCACAGAGTTTCAAATTTAGGTAAAACAGGAAGTGCAGAGGAAGGGACATAGGAGAATGGGGAGAGGGGAGGTGAAGTCATGCAGAGGTCTGTGCTTGCAACATGAACTGGACGAACCAGCACAAAGTGTCCAAGGCTGGGCTGTTACAAGAAGAAAGGTTCATCCATAAATTCATTGTGAGTTGCTGTCAAGCAATTAGACAGGTTTCTCCAACCTGGTTCCCTCCAGGTATGTTGGACTACAGCTCTCATCACTCGCCATTGGGGATGATGAGGGTTGTAGTGCCAGACATCTAGAGGTGCCAAGTTGAGGAAGGGTGAACTAGAGGGCATTAGTTCATATGCTGAACAGCATAGTCACCTTTGTTATGTTTCTGTTGTTTAACGATTACGGCTGCCAAAGGATAAAATATTTAGTTTTCAGTTGCCTAGTCAACTGTCTTTTAAAGAACTTACTATATTTACATAAATCTCCATACTATCGAAACTTCAATATAGCTCAGTTTTTGAGGCTCTTGAAAAATGAGAGAAATTAGCTTTTTGTGTCACTCCATCACTTCTTGTTAAATGGAAAAGCCATCTTCAGTGTTTTCTTTTTCACCAGTGTGGGATTTGGGAATATAGAACATTTTCTGTTACAGTATCTCACTAGAGCCAAACTGTTTTCAGGCATGAACAAATTCGAATCCCATCAGTATTTTGCAAAGCCAACATTTAAAATAGGTATTCACCAGTGACTTCAGCTGAGCAATTTGCTTCAATTATCAGTTGTCTTTGGCTCTTACTGCTAGAAAAAGCTTAGAATTTTCAACACTCTCCTGGGCCTTCCGAGGCAGCCCCCATGCTTACCACAAAGCAGTAATTCTCTTTTTCGTTCTCTTCGCTTCTTTTCCTGTAAAATACAGTTTGCCTGCATGCACTAGAAAACGACTCCAGTTGCCGTACCCTCTTTCTTTTTGAATTGTGCCTTTAGTCCTGAGTGAAGTCCAGAGGCATTCCGAGGAAAAGAAAGATGGCTGGATGGTCAAAAACTGGAGCTTGCCACCAAAAGTCAAGAAATGAAGCAATAAATAAAATCAATGGCAACACAAAGTCAGGATAGGCAGGATATCTTCTGGGTACCAATGGAGTGGTTTGCAGGGGCTCCAAGACACCAATGGAATACTTAGTGAGAGATGCATTGCAGTGAGAGATGCCCCCCGATGGATGGAGGAAAGAGGCAGGAAAAGCAATTTAGAGCAAGAAGGGGGTGGGGATAAAAGAATGTCTGCTACTTTTTTCCACTGGTAATGCTTACTTTTTAAAAAAAAGTTCTATGCCTATAAAAGTGCTCCAGAAGGCATTAGAAATATACCTTCACCCCTTTCCTTTCTCCATGCCTTCAACCCTTCCCCACTCCCAGGAATGTCCCGAAACATTTATCTGGGGGAATGTTTTGCACAGCCTGAATATTTTCCTCCCGCACTGCCCAGCCCTGTATTCTAAGGCCATATTCAAAGGAAGGTTCAGGTTGTGGAAACAGAAAAATGCGCGCCCGGATCACAGTGCTACATGTTCTTCACATGAGCTCCCTGGTTTGTTTGTTTTTCACAGCTGAGAATGCTCTTCACCCAGCCCGACGGAATTGTGTCTAGTTATGCTCACGGAGCCCCAGTCCTTGTCCCTCAGCAAGAGGCTGTAGCTGTCTGCCAGCTCTGTTCTTAGGCCTCTATTATTTTATGTCATGTGGGCCCCATTCACAGCCATTCTAGCACTGAACAAGATTTACAGTCTGTTTTTAGGAGCTTAGTTGATTGGGGGAAGAAAGCCCATTGAAAGCATGGCTTCGGTGGATGGATATAGTGTCATCTCTAGTACAGTCCGGTAAACTATTTGCCATGGGTGACTAATGGCTCTTTGCGCCTGTGGTATTCTCTGCAGTCACGTTCAAGAGGGCTCGGGCCTCTATTACTGTGCTGACATTGATATCTGGGTAGAGCATGACTTCATTCTGTGATTCCCTCCAGCCCATAAACTAGTGGCAGTTGGACTTGAACTACAGCAGAGTGTCAGGTTGCTGCAGTAAGGGCTGTAGACGCTTTCACTGCAATAAATTTGTTGTGTGTAGAAACAGGATGGCACCCCAGTCACATTCTACTTTCTAAGTATTTGGTAGGCTTCTTTGAACAGAGTTAAATTCAGTGTTGGTCCAAGGCCTATTCATTTCAATGGGTCTGCCCATGCAGGCCTAATACTGAATACAATTCTGTAAGACATAAAGTAGCAGACATCCCAGAGTCCTAAAGCAGCTGGCACACTCCAGCAAAAGTGAAGCCCCAGTGAAATAAGTGGGGCTCACATTAAGTCACGTGAGTCCTGTTCCATTGTTTTCAGTGGAATTTAATCATTGCTGCTTTTTGCTGGATTGGGCTCATGGGCTATAGGAATTGATCCCTCCCCCACTGATAGCAAGATGTCTCTGTGTGAACTGGAGAGACCAGGAAGCACTTTATGCGTCATTACAGCTTGCTGGTGATCTTACAGACATTCACTGAAGGATAAAGAAAAGATAGCATGGGAAGTTGGGAAACATTTGTGTAGCCTGTTTGCAAGCATTTGCTCTCTCTGCAAAATAATCTGAATGCAGGACGAAGGGAACTGGGAGTTGGTGCCTTCACTGCAACGTTTTCCAAGGTCACAAGCAGATGCCCTCATGGCTTCTTGCACAGGAGTTCATAGATCAAGATCTTATTTACTTGATTCACTTTTTATATAATCTACCTGCACTGACCCATCGAATCCTATCTCAAAAGCACAGTAGCTAATATGCTAGGATATCCCATCCACATTTCACTATCAACTCTGGGTTATATATTTACTAAGAAGATTCTTTAAAGATATCATTTATTTTAAGGAATCTGATATCTTTCAACCACCTCAGCCCCTGTAGGACAGAATGGGAGTCCTCTGTCTCAGAAAACTACATGGCTAGCGCTCATTATATAGATACAGCATGACGTAATCTTCCTGCCTCTACCACCTCCATTCTTTGCAAATTTATTCTGCAAAATTAACTGAAGACGGGCCAGATCAAGTTAGGCAAGTGCCTCAGGTCACTTCTATGGTACATTGTCTTCTTCCAGCTTAGTAGTCAATTCATCCATCTTAAGGATGGGCAAACTGTCAATTTTGGCTTCTCTCATTTTCATATTCTTAAGTTTGAGTTGTCCTGAACATTTGTATAATTGAATGAAAATACGTATGCATTTTGGTGCTGTCATGATTTTTTGCATGAAATTTTGCCTAACATGCAAATTTTGGCAGGGCAATTTCATAATGCAATGCATTTTAAACATTTTCAGTCATATGCACACTTTTCTAAGCACTTTCCCCAGTCAATGCATTTTTTGTTTAAAAAATGTTATGCATTTTTGAAGCATAACTGACTTCGGGATCAAATATTGGTTCAGAAGTGAGAAATTAGGAGAGTCCATATTAAAATGCAAACACAGACAAATTCCCCCCTCCCATTCCTACTCAAACCATCCATTTATTCAGGTATCTACCATTTTGCTTTGCTCACCTGTATGGCAAAATGCCCTTTCATCTCATAAAAAATGTAGTATTTGTTGCATTAGTTTCTGACTTTGTTGGCTTGAAATAATCACTTTCTACAGCCAGATAGGAACATAAGAAGAGCTGAGCAGGATCAGACCAAGGGTCCATCTAGTCCAACGTTCTTTTCACACAGCAGTAAACCAGCTGCTCACAGGAAACCACCAAACAGGATGGGACTGCGATTGTATTCTGCAGCCAAAGGTTCCTAGCAATTGGTAATCATAGATATACTGGTAGTACCTCATCAGAGATACTACCACTTGGATGAGCAATGCCTAGCAGCAATGACCCATGCCCTGGTATCTTCCTGACTGGATTATTGTAATGTGCTCTATGTGGAGCTGCCCTCGAAGATGGTCTGGATACTTCAGTTGGTCCAGAATAGAGCTGCCAGGATATTAATGGGGGCCGGCAGGTATTTGCATATAACGACAGTCCTTTACCACTTATACTGGCTGCCAGTTAAAGTCCAGGCCCAATTTAAGGTGCTGGTGATAACCTATAAAGCCCTAAGCGGCCTGGGTTCTGGATACCTGAAAGAGCACCTCCTTCCCTATGTGCCCCCCACCCCCGAGATCTAGGTGGAGGTCCTTCTTTGGGAGCCCTCCTTGAAAGAGATTAGGAGGGTGGTTACCCTGAGGAGGGCCTTCTGTGGCAGTGCTCTGATTATGGAATACGCTCCCCAGAGGGGCTTGCCTGGTGCCAACACTTCTTTCTTTTCCGTGCCAGGAAAAACCATTTTTATTCTCCCATTATTTTAATTTCTAATTGGTTTTTATATGTTTTATACTGCATGCTGTGCTATTTTTAATTTCTATTTTACTTGTTGTTTGTTGTAAACCATCCCAAGACACTAGTAAGGGGACGGTTTATAAAAGCTTTAAATAAATACTAGAGACAGCATATAGCTCCAGTAGCCACTGTCAGCCTCTTCCTGCTCCTCCATCCAAGCCATCCAGATTGGTGGCCATCCCTCTGTCTTGGGGAAGTGAATTTCATAGTTCTGTGTGCTGAACTCCTCGGCCCTGGTTCTCCCAGCAATCCGCTTCATGGAATGACTCTGGCTCCTAGTATTTTCAGGGAGGGGGAAAAAGATCTTCTTATCCATTTTTTTCATACCATGAATAATTTTGTACACCTCTGTTGTTTTTGTACACCTCTGTTGTTTTTGTACACCTCTGTTGTTTTTGTACACAGGACTCACAACTGTTCTAAAATATGCAGTCCCAGATACTGTAACCTTTCCTCACAGGGGAACTGCAGTACCACAGAGTACTGGGAGTTACATGTTGAAAAGGTTCTCTCAGATCAGTGCCATTGATCTCACCCATGCAGAACTCTTGGGAGAAGGATGGGAAGCCAGCAACAGGGAGGGCAGAGGGGTCTGTATGAGGTACTTCCGGAGGAGGCCAGTTCGTTTAAACGAGGCAGAGCTATGGATATCAGCTGGGGGGGAGAACACTGAACACGGGGGACTGGCAGTCATTTAGGGAAACGTGTGAAAATAGAGGAGGCAATGGCCGTTTGCACCTTCCTCAACTGTATGGGAATTAATAAGGGAAAGCTGACAATGGGAGAGCAGCAGCGCATGATGAGCACATCTCAGCTTTTGTTCGTGTCAAACGCCTTCTGGCACTGAACTTTTTGTGGCGGAGCAGAAACGACTGCAAATGTGAGATCAGCCAGGGAGAGGGGTCGTATGTTTTTAAGTCAAATGATCAGATCTAGAAACAAAGAGGAGTGAGAATAAGGTCGACAGGTTAGCCTCCCGTGACTCCTACAGAGTGACAGTACAGCTCATGCTAACCAGGGCAATGGTCATGGTCCAACCCGTGACTCACAGAGCTGTGGAAACAGAGCAGCTGTGTTTCTTTCTGCATCTGCCACGGCAGACCGCCTGCAGTTGGGGGCAGGAAAGTGGGATGATGGCCTGTCAAATAGGATGCTTTCGACATGGCAAAGGAATGCTAGAAAGCGGTGGAAAGGAACGTCTGTCCGTTCAAAGGTCAGCAAGGCAAATCTCTGGCACCAGCTTTCAGGAAAAGTTGAAGGTAGTTGCATTTGTTATGAGGAAGACTTAAAACATACACATTCCACATCCTGTCCTCTGACTAGATTGCTAAGTCTTCACAGGGAATAATCAATATACATCTTGTTCAAACAAGGGAGATCATAGGAGCCAAGGAGCAAGAGGGAAGTGCCCATGCAGACAGTTTATCTGAAGACAAATAGGCAAGCAAGTGGGGCCAGCAGTGAAATACTGGGATGTGGTGTGTGCTCCTATTTGCAGGTCCAGCCAGCTATGGCCTCTCCCTCTCCGTAACCTTTCTATTCCCCTTCCGCATCACTGAGCCAGCATCCTGTGAGCAGTTCTCACTGGGCTGCTGGGGGGAAGTCCCCTCCTAGGGTTTGGGGGACAGTCTGTGCCTCCCCAAGTATTTGTTTGTACTTCTAAAAACTCAGTGATTCCTCTGCCTATGGCTGCAGTCACGCTCGGGCAGGGAACACAGACACAATCGGGGTCGGGGGGGGGGGGGGGGGACCATGCTCAGGGGGGGGGGGGGGGGGGGGGGGGGATGGCTGTGATCTTCATTGTTCTTTGTCACTTTGCTTCAGATTTTTGTGATTAAAAAATAGTTACAGAATGGATTAACCTTATTTACATTGACCCTTATGGGGAAATTTGACTTGGCTCACGAGCATTTTGGGTCGCGACCAGAGTCATGGAACAGATTAAGTTCGTGAGCCAAGGTATCACTGTAGTAGTAAGTGTTCTTACATATTGTTCCTTCAGTGCTGGAGAGTTTAAAGTAATGGATTTAATCCAGGGCCAGAACAGACAAACCTTCCCCAGCCTAAACACATCACCACCACCACCACAGAAGCCCTGGCCAAAATCAGTCCCAACTGATGACAGCTTTCCTCCTGGGACAAATACCACCAGGGCATGCGGGCAGAGGGGTGGGGGAGGATTTTTTTTTGCAGAGGCTGCATGGGAAGAAAGGGTTAAACCTCCTTCCTGCAGAGAGGCCATTCTGTGAAAGACAAGTGGACAAGTTTCTCCTCCTACACCAGTCAGGAAAGTAAATAGGAGAATGAACTGCCACCGTCTATTTCAATGCAAACCAAAGTATCCCCCTTTTACTCTTCCCTTGGAGTGTAAGGAACTGCACAGCAGGCGCCAAGTGGTTATGATATGGCACAGCAGCGATCCGTGGATGGGTGTGCCTTCCCGACATACAGGGCAGGCAGTGTCAGTAGCACGGATGGAGGAAGGACCGGCGGTATGCTAGCTGGGGAGGAGAAGGCAGTGCAAGGCCATTGGCCGCTGCCCGAGCGCGCTGCCCTTCCATGGGCAGACCTGGCATGTGCCATAGCATGATGTCACCCAGGCACACT